ATACTCCAAATGCGATAATACGGTTCATTCTTAATTCTAACAAGGCTAACACTAAGTCCTTAAGACTAAAACGTTATTTACGTTAAACGACTCTCTATACGGTCGTGTTTGTATTTACGATTGTCAAAAAGAAAAAGGAAAAGAAAGTATTTACTTTACGTTAAATTGTGGCTGATTACATTATGTTATCGATATACGATATTCTTATTCAAACAAAAGGCACTAAGGCAGATCAAATTAAATTATTCTAGTGCAAACGATTCTTATTTGAGGTCCAATATACGGTATATATTATATGATAGTAGTTAAGTAAATATATATATCAAATGTGTGGGCTTAGACAAGAATGAATATATAGGTAAATGTTTTGACGGCTATGCCGTACTTACGAACTCTCCAACGAAGTCAGCAGGCCTGATGACGATCGATGTGTGCTGTAGAACTTTGAAGTGTTTATGTAATGGTTATATATGTCAATCTATATCATAAGCACACACGAAATAATGTTGGCTAAATAGGAATCGTAAAGTAAATTAGAATCGTATCTTAAATGTGTTGGGAAAGAAGCAAACTAAACTACTTTTACTTAATGCGATACAAAGAACAAGTTGGCAGCCCCGGCCAACGTGAACTGGAACCAGAATTGGAACTGAAATTCCAATTGGGATGAGACTTCGTGTTTGCGCGTGCCTGCGCGGATTTGACGAATCGGCGCCGGTGGGATTCGTCCGAATTTCGTCCGACTGGATCGGACCTGTCGATTTTGGTGCAGTTTTTGCACGATGAAAACCTCACGCGGGCTTGGTGAGGTAGAAACGGCGTTCCTTGATGCCGCTTGCGGTTGGGCGCTGACAAACTAGGTCCGGTATGACGAACAGTACGGTAGTCCAGGCGTGGAAAGGAGAAAAGATCCACTTCACGCGGGGTGCGCCTTTACAGAATTCCTTTATGTAGATTCAGGAGTGGCGATGATGAAATACGACCCAGGCGTGGGCTCTGATGAAATGTTAAATCCAGGCGTAGAGCTGATGCAAATCCTGGGCGTCGCGCTCGCGTGGCACTGATGCAACGAAAATGTTACCGCTTCAGCGGCTCCAGCTCCTTGCTGTGCGCAGAGGGAGGGCTCGCAAACTTTTGCAATTCTTGGAAATCGCACGTGGTCGGTGGTTTCTGTGTTCTGGGAAATTCCAGTCAGAAAACGACAATATTTCTGAGAAATTAACTCACCAACAAGAATAGGAACAATAATAGGGGAAAATATGCACAGATTATCAGGAAAATCACTCGCGGATGATTGGATGCGATCGAATTAAGTAATTTTTACGGAGCGAACGAACTGGTCACGAGAGACGCTGATATAAAAGAGGCGGAAATCATGGCTTCTAGTGTGAACGTCGTATGCGTGAAATCCCAAAATCCTTAAGTATGGTATTTTCGGTTGATTAGTGTCAGGATCGGATCCTCGCTAATAGCAGGGTCGCATTTCGGGTGAATGACTTAGCTGCAATGTCTTCGCTAATACTTAGGCAAAAATATACTGACTCTCACAAATTGGCTTGCGTTCCATTCAGTGTTGGTGCCGACAGCAAGAACAAAAAAGGACGCTGGGAGCAAGAACGCGAAGCACACCATTGCGGACTCGGGAAGCCGTTTCTTTTAAAGTTATTTATTATTTATTATTTTTAAACCCGATATAATCCATTTAGGAATAAGAATGGGAGAGTATGTAAATTTGTATAACTATAAATTGTGTAAATATATTTGTAGTGAATGTAAATAACAACAAACAAAAATATAAAAACAAAAAAAATATATATTGAAATTGTATTTTTATTTATGAAAAATGGCCGTGAAATTTTGAGGAGCATTTTGCATGTTTTAGGGCAATTCACCTATAAATCCAGAGAAAATGCCCTAGATTTATGAAAATCTGCCTTTAGTTTTAGGATATTTTTCCTTATTTCTAGGGCAATTCGCCTTAAAATCCAGAAAAACACCCTAGATTTATAAAAAATTGCCTTTAGTTTAAGGGTATTTTTTCCGATTTCCAGGGCAATTCGCCTTTAAGTCCAAAAAAATCGCCCTGGATTTAAAGGAAACTGCCATTAGTTTAAGGGTCTCATTTCTTATTTTTAGGGCAATTACCTTTGAAAATAGAAAAATCGCCCTAGATCTACCAAAAATCGCCCTAAATGTATGACAAATTCACTCGTATTTTTAGGGCAATTTGCCCTAATTTTGTTGCCTAGTCGCCATTGACCCCCGTTTTAGGGCGATTTTCCTTGTTTTTAGGGCGATTTTACCGGAAAATTTCTATGAGTGTACAGTTAAACTATTCCCTTTCAAAATATATGAAATCCGGAATTTCGTAGTGCTATTTCTTTCTCTCAGTGCACCATGCTTAGAACCAAGAGCCAAGCAAATGGAGCGTTTCTCCATGCCAGCCATAATTTCGATACCCCGCTCCTTGCATTGTAACAACGGAGCCTTCCACAGTCGAGTGCAGAGTACAGAGAACAGAGTGCAGAATGGAAATGGATGTGGAAACGGCAGCTGGAGGAGCAGAAGAAAGTGGTCCAATTACCAAGGAAACTCAAGTTCAGTTCGCCAGCTGTTGTGGTCAATTAATGAGGACTGTCGACTGTCGAAATAGAGACGCTTCAAGCGCATCAGATTGGCCCAAACTGCTCAGTCACTTTGGATTGCTTTGGGACATCGGCTGGGAGCCGGATTGTTGCTAAACAACCGGGATTATCGGAGAGTGGACAAGCCAATTGCAACACTCGAAGCCTTCGAACGCCTTTGATGGGAAGGAAGGGAATTGCAGTCTTTGAAGGGAAATCTTGATGGGCGGACTACTACTGACAACTCAAAGAGACCGGAATTTATTCCACAGAATTAGCATTCATCCGCAATTGCAGTGCGGTTTTTTCCTTTGTGAATCAACTCAGTCCAAGTCACAAACGATTTATTCATTGATAGCACAAGCGGATTTTAAATTTATAACTGAGAGTCTTTTTAATTTATTGTTTAGATTTTTATTTTATTTTATTATCATAATTTTATAACTTTTTTATAATATTAATCAGGTTATTCAGAAGAAATTTGTTGTTGCATACTTTTTAAATACCCAATGTTTATTCAGGTGGGTTAAAACACCCTATTCATCAACATATTCCAACTGAATTTACTCAAAGTTGGGTAGGAATATAATTAACAGCTTTTAAATGCTGTTTGCATTTATCAATCAATCGGTTGCTAACATAGACCTGTGCCCATGAAATAGTTGTCTTAAACACCATTTCTCCCATTCGATTGCTTGTTGTTGGGGGCAATGACTTCCTGTGAGTCGTAACCCCAATAAGTCATTTACTGTCAAGTCAAAGAAATGGGTTGGTTGCCATATCCTTTTTTCTATTTTTTCTACTTTTTTGGCCGAGTATCGGGAGATCGGAAAGGGAGTTGAGGGATTGAAAACTAATTAGTGACAAGCCAATGCAGCTATCAAGCTAATGCAATCAGAGTAGAGGGATGGGAGGAAGGCTAGTGTAAATACACTTCGATTAACGCTAAATTAGCTCTCGCTGAACTGAACGGGGATCGAACAAAAGCCAGAATTGCCAATGGCCGATGAGGAGGATGGTTAGGATGGTTAGGATGGTTGGGATGGCCAGGATGGCTGGATGATGACGCCAATGATGATGAGAGACCGATGACGACAGCAGCCCGATGGGCGATGGTCGATGGGTGAGGGGTAGCTTTGGGGCGACAGAGACACCCACTTATCCTTCTTCTGGCTCTTTGTGCATTGTCAGCCCCATTTGGCCATGATGGCGTGGCGTCGAATGCATTTGGCTATGATTCACAGTACAAAAGATGCAGCGGTCGCTGGAGAGTGGTTAGATGGGGTTGAAAGACTTGTGGGTAGCGGATAAATAGATGTATAAGCGGGTTCTATCTATACAGAGTGCTCCTCCTCCATCACTCCAATCTCTCTGTGCCTGTGTGTGTGTGTCTGGCAATTTGCTAGGCGCTCGCCTCGCCTCGCCTCGCTCAAGCTGACAAAACAAGTCCCTGACCCCAAAAAGTAGGCAACAAAAAGCGTTGGCTGCTTTGTCAGCTTCCCAGAGCCCCTAGAATAGCAGAATGGCAGCCCATATACACCATACACCCCCGGGCTATGCTAATAACCAATATTTTAGAGCCAAGCCGCCGTCTGCCGTTGAAATTGTCGCCAGCAACAAGAAAAGCAACAAAGGGGGCGCAAAAAACAAACTTTTCACAGATAGCTGAATCATGCCGCAGACAAAGGATATGTGGGGGATGCGCTGGAAGGGCTGGAAAATGGGGAAAGGAAGTCGAGAATGGGGCAGACGAGTACAAGGCATTAATTTAACAGGATAATTGAAAATGAATAGTTGCATGTGGCAAGAGGCAGAGGCGACAACATCCGGACATGCGACAAATCAATCCGGAACCAGGAAGGGGCCGAAGATAATAATTTAGAGGGAATTTCCCCTGGGGCCGAGTCGGGATTTCCCAAACCGACTGCTGCAATGCCAATTTAACGACCAGCCAGCGAAGCTTTAAGGGTTTATTTATGCCAGCAGCGATGCGGATTATTCATGGCTCATTCACAAAAGTTCGGTTCATTATGCAAGGACAATAAAAACTATAGATATTTGTGGGGATTTTCCTTAACAGAGTAACAGGATAAATGGTTTCATTTGTACAGAAAAGTATTTTAATCATTAAACACTAATCATTGGGAAAATTGTTTAAACCTAATTGTACCTTGTACTTATGTTAAGGTAGGTTTCACGATAAATAGCAAAAAACATCCCTACCTAATCGATTATTTCACATTAGGTAGGATTTATCATTTAAACATTGTAAAACGCAACAGATAGTCTGCACACCGAAATGAGAGCACTAATCTCTATATTTTCCGGACTTCCGCTCACAAATAAACATTAAAATATTGACTAGTCATAGCTTACCTTTAGCCACAAGCTCATATGCTTGGTGGTCAATGCGAGTTTTGCCTGGGTCTGCGATTTCGATTTCGAGTCGATTCAATTCGATTCGATTGTTTGGTTTAGATTTTGGTTTTCGGTTTGTGTGATTTGTGTTTGAATTATTTAGTTTAAAGAGAATTTTACATTAAGAATTTGTGATTAGACACACTTTAGGTTTGGATGAATATATATATTTAGATTGGGTTAAGGTTTCGATTTATATTGCTGTTTGTTTGCTTGTTTGCTTGTCTGCTTGGCTGTTGTTTTGTTTCTTGCCAATTCCGAGTTCCGGCAATCTGGTTTCTTGGCCAGTTGGGAATTCGAGTACAACAAAATTGAACTTGGCAAACACAACGAACGAACGAACGAAGGAACGAACGCATCAAACGAACTGGGGAACTACGAGAAACGAACGGGGAACGAAACGGAACGGAACGGAACGAAACGGAAGTTATGTAACTTTACTGGGCTAACGTACAATATGGTGTGTGTGTGTGGCTTGTAAATTTTATATATATTTCTGATCCACCGATCGACCCAATCAACATCGTCTGTGTGTGGAAGTGTTGCATTCTCAAATGATAAATCGATAACCAGTGGGAGAAGCTGATGATTTATCGGAATCGGGCATGCAGGTTGTTTTGTAAGAAGCAGGCAAATCGAAAGGTTATAAGTGTTCGGTTTGGGAAAATGGGGTAAGGAGGGTAAAGAGGGGTCTTATTTACAATATCGGGACTCTAGCCAATCAGTGGAAGTTTTCACGAGTGCCAACGCACAGGAACCATCTTGAGAACTTCACCTTTCAGATGCTTTTCTCAGTCGGTCTTCCCAATTTCCAAAGACTCGAGTGGGAAAGTTTTTATTTGTTTGGCAGGAGAAGTTAACAGAGTGGGTAAAAGTTCAAGGCATGTTAACTAGGCAGAACAAGAAAGACAGAGAAGGAGTAAGACAGAGAGAGAGAGAGAGAGAGGCAGACCGATATAGTAAAGTTATAGTTATAGTTATAGTATTGTAGTTTATTTGTTAATTTCGAACAGAAAAGAGTGGAATGTGGTTTAAGTTTAGGTTTACTAAGTTGTTGTCAAGAGTCTAGATCTAAAGTGGCAAACATGGCAAGACAAATCGGGGAGCAGTTGGGTAGGTAGTTAGTTATGGGATAGAGAGTGGGCGCTACGGCTTTGGAGGTTCTTCAAAGAGGTAGAGCTACGCTAGAGGTTCTAGGGGGATGCTATGTGTATGCACATATTACGGGAACGAACATCTAGTAATGCATTTTTGGTGGAGCTCACATTTTTCAATTGACGACATTTTGGACAAGTGGACTCGGAATCTGGTAACTGGTAACTGGAATCTGGGCTCTGCCTTTCTTTCTTTCTTTTTTTTTTAGATTACTGTTTTGGTATTTGTTGCGAAGTGGTTCAGGTCGAGGCTGATAGTTGGTGGTTGTGGTTCATGGTTCTTGGTTCTTGGTTCTTGGTGGTTGTGGTGGTACTAGTGGTTGTGGTGGAAGTAGTAGTTCTAGTGGTGGTGGGCGGTGGCATTAGCTTTAAACTAGCGGGCGAGCGGTGAGGCGGTGAGCGTGAGGCGGTGGTGGGTGCAACGTTTTTCAGCGGTTCGCAGTTCTCGGTTCTTGGTTCTCAGTTCTTAGTTCTCAGTTCACTTATTGTCTTGGCTTGCTTTGCTTCCTATTTGTTTGTTTTCTATTTTTGGCAACAACATTTACTGATTTAACCATCTCATAAGCTTTATGTTCTTATTTTCTTACTTTTACGCAGACAACGCACAACTTAAAGGCAAACTGAACAAAACTGTAAGCGAGTGCCAATGACACTGAGGGGTGGAACGAGCAGGGGGATGGGAATGGGAATGGGGGTGGTGTCTCAGTGGTTTGTTGTATGGCTGCGATGACGTCGACGGCGACGGCAAGTGGTTGGAAGTGAAGTTTCGTGGGGTTGGCGACGGGTGGGGAGGGAAGGGGAGCGGCAGGGCACGAAAAAAAACAACCCTCCGCTTGACAGGCGCTGCTGACTCAGAGCGAGAGAGCAATAGCACTTGCCAGGCGAACAAAAAAAAAAACAAAAAAAAAACTACACGAGAAATTAACCAAAGAAGACAAAATAAACACACGCACACACACACATACAAGCTGACAGAATGACAGGCACACAGGACGGCAAATCGGTTAACGGTTAACGGTTAGCGGTTCAAAACACAAGTCAAGACCGGAAACGGAAATGGAGATGGAGATCGCGCAGAGTTGCAATCGAACAGCTGTAAGTCGGAATGGTAGAGTACTATATTGAGTATTGAGCGTGTGCTTGTGTTATTTCTTAATCTTCCTCTTCCTCCCGTTTCCACGCTCATCAAACACACACACACACAGAGAGACACACGCACACTCACACACGCTCGCACTGGGAGCACGGAACACTGGAAAAAAAAGTATGTGACTGGGAGAGTGGGGATTCGGAATCCCTGCGTACGTCTTGCGAACTCGTGACTCGTCGGCAGCGCGTTCGAAGAAGGACTAAAACTAAGCCAAGCTAAAGAGGACGAGCACACGTCCGCTGAGCGCCGAGCAACTGAGCGGGGCGAATGAGAGAGAGCGAGAGAAATTTACGGAGAGAGAGGCGGTCCCGTTACGCGCTGTTAGCCAGTGGCTATGTTGGCGCCATGTTAGGGTTAACCCTTCACTGAAGAAGATTGCTTTCATACTATTTAACATCTTAATTTTCGAGTTTTGTTTTGCTTAACTAGTTAAGGTTGGATTTCAAAAGCACAGCTGTTTTGACTCGTGTTCGTTGTTTTAATAATAATTAAAATTTAATTAATTTGATTATTTATATCCTATGATATAAGGAAAGGCTGTACGAAAACAGGTGTTCGAGGAATTGTAATGACTACAATTAAGTCTCCATGGAAAATTGTAAAGCTTATAGTAAATACAAAGGTTTATTGCAATTAACCCATTTCCTGACCAATTTCGTGTTTAGAATATGATGGTCAGGAGTAAAGTGTTAAGCCAGCAAAGTTAACAGAAGTTACACATGTTAACTACCAAGAGAGTAAATAGAGAGAATGAGAGAGAGAGTGGCGCATGTGGGGAACGCGACAAGTGGCGGTCAATTTGAATTGGCTTTCAAATCAAGCCTGGCAATGTCAATTGGGTGTAAGAACTAAATAAAGTATCTACAGTTAATGTGGGGATGCAAATATCAACTGTTTTCTAGTACCATTTGCTGATAACTTCAGATATTTTAATCCATGAACCCAATCCAATACTATCGCGCCTTCTCACCCCTGACAAGCTGTCAGGGAAAACATGTGACTAACGAGGGAAATTCGTATTTCGGACTGGCAATGTTGTGCGGAGCAGACTTTTGTCTGCAATATTTTGACATTTCGAAGGGCAAAAGAGCGATTGGGCGAGGACAATGGTGAGGGGGGAGTCAAAATAATAAAAATTTATAAATTGTGTGTGCTCTCTTTTGCTCTTTCTCTCTCTCTCTCTCTCTTGCTGATAGCATGGAAAAAGTGCGATTGGCAAAGACATGTTGCTACACGACACGACACGTTTGTGCAAGAGTGTGCGTGCGCTTAACTGTGGAGCATACTTAAGTGCGGACGCACTCGATTAATTAGCAAATTGAAGCTACACAGCTTTTAGGCAGTTGGTCAAAGGCATTCGGCATGGAAATCAGCCCAACTAGTTACTGTCAACTGTCAATAAGACGAGCACTTTACATAATAAGCACTCTCTCAGTCACACACACACACCAGGGCAACACACGCACCAACACTCTGTCAAATCAGGCGAACACGCGCGCGTTTATGGGCCTGCAGACTTCTGGGGGAAATTCAATTTCAGTCTACAATTATCAACGAAGAAATTTTGAAAAAAAAATATCAAAGTTCGAAACTTTGGCACTTGCCACACTCGCGTAAGCCCCACGATTTTTGCACAATTTCACTTAGTCTTTGAGCTTCTGGGGGTCTTGTTTATTATCGTATATCTCTGTATTCATGCCGTTTTGGCCTGTTGGTGTGCGCACCGTATGGGGGTAACGAAGTGCTCCAAAGTCAGAGAACACACTGAAACTGAATCTGAAGACCCCGTCCGAGGAACTCACTTTGAAGTCATGCCTTTGACATTTGCAACGTGTTAACCTCGCAGGCGAGAGAATAACAGTTCACGAGAGAAAATGGGAGCGCGAGAGCCTGGAATCGAGCAGGCGAAGAAGAGAGCACCACCCTTGCGCATGCGCAGTTATCGGAATCGGAATCCACCCTACGAATCGCTCACCTGGTTGCAAGGGTGCAGCGCTAACTTCCCGCTGTGGAAGATAGAGGGCGCCACAGAAGCTTTTTCGATTCTTATATAGAGCTTTGTACGGAAAATAAAGTCATTTATTCCATTAGGGGTTCAGTTTAAATATAATTATAATTGGAAAATTCACATTGATACAAATTATTAGGCTGGAAAACCGTGTACTAAAATATGTAGTTACAGTTTACTTCTTAAATTTATGAGGCGAAAAGTTTGCCGCCCATGAACTTAAAGCTCCCGCCCTAGACAAATTTCTCCACGATCCTTTCTATCGTTATTCGATATATTCATAAACTCCTATTAACCTTACTGCGAAGGTTACCCAAACCTTTTAATTTTTGACAAAAATCCCATGATTTTTATTGACGTTTTTATTAATTTTTATAGAGCTTTTCCCTAATGATTAACACAACTTGATCATAGATTGTTCGAGGGAAATTAGGTAACTATCAACTATATTATGCCTGAAACGATATTCGGATTAGTACCTCTATTGCCAGGAGGTCCAGAAACTCACCCTGCAACTTGGCCAACTGCTCGGTGCTCAACTGCTCAACTGCTCATAACAATGGGCAGCAGTTTCTCGGGGCTGCCGAGAGCTATCAAGCTGGGATCGGCAATGGGGCCCATGTAGCATTTGCGCATCTTCAAGTACTGCATCCAGACATTCAGTCCATCCTCGTTGGCTCCCATGGAGCAGAGATCCTTGCCGCCGGCGTTGCGAACGTTGAGATCCACATTTGTGTCATTGATGAAGACCTGGCGAGTCAGGTGATAGTAGCTGTTGGTGATGTAGATGTTCGGCTGGGCAACCTGTCGCTTCTAAAGTGAAAGAAAAACAGTATAACTTGAAATATATCGATAGTTTCGATATTAAATAACGAATAATAATAATATGTAGTTGTTCGGCTGGGCAACCTATCGCATTTAAAGTGAAAGAAACTGTACAACTTGAAATATATCGATATTTGCGATATTAAATATCGAATAATAATATGTAGATGTTCGGCTGAGCAACCTGTCATTTTTAAAGTGAATGAAACAATAGAACTTGAAACATATCGATATTTTTGATATTAAATATCGAATAATATCGAAAATTCGTGAAATAAAAGCATTAAAACTTGAAATATGTCGATATGTCGATTGATATCGAAAAGTCGCTCTACGCTACACACTTGTTCCTCTAGCATGGATCGCATGAAATTCTCGCTTATCAGGTGAATGTTGCAGTCGCGCAGATCCTTTATCACGCGCTCCAGATTTAGATTCTTCTCGGCGAGCACCTGCATCTCCTCGTCCAGCTGACGCCTCTCCTCATCGTGCAGCAGAAGCGTTTCCTCCCACTCGCGATTAATGGAGCCCACGTTGTAGTCATTCTTGCGCTTCAGCAAACGCTGACTAAAGTACCACTCCGAGAACTGAGTCAACTTGGACAGGGCCAGAATGCAGAAGAAGGTCCACAGGATGTCTGTGTACTCATCGAAGGAGCTGCCGCTGCCGCAGGACTCCTCCTCGCAATCGATCCCTGCTGTCGAGCCATCCCACACCAATCCAGCTATGGTTATATTTTCCATAATCGAAATTCGTGTGTGTCCCAAATAGAGAGTTTTTTGGCGAGAGTATGTTAGTTGGTGATGGCAGAAGAATCACAATGGAATTTGAAAACTCAGCGTAGAACACTACTAGCACAGCCTGCTCAAGCTAAAGTGGCATATGTACTTACTTTTTGTCTGGGACTTTTGGCCGATGGGCCAAACGAACTGCAGACACAGCCAGGTGAAAAGTGAGAGGCAAGTGGCGATGGCTCCATCAACCAGTTGCTCCACCACCACGTCATCCATGGGGGCCCACTCACACCAGCTTCAGTACTTGGCAATTTTGTATCATAGCTCAAGGAGCTCGGGCTTCCCTGTGAGAGTGTTTGAATAATTGACAAAGTCCTCATGGACTTGGAAATCTTTACTGAACTTGAAAAAAACTAGTTACACAATATTTTATTCTTACTAGTTTTTTAGGTCAGCAAATGATTATGGATGGTAATGAACTGCCATGATAATGAGTGTATTTATACCATCTCTCGTAGAGTAAATTCATATTATTATTTATTTTTATTTTTTATTATATGCAATCGGGCCATTATTAAACTTATGAGAAAAATGTGGAATGGCCGCTAGATGGAGCCAGTAGCTTTGATACTTAAGCTGAGTAAAGGGTATCTGATAGTCGAAGTACTCGACTGTAGCGTTCGCTCTTGTTAATTGCACAATTTTTATTCAAATATTTTCAATTAATTCAAAAACATTAATTATTTATTATATTAATTATTGTCTTGAAACATTTGCTCTCGCCCACTGAGTAACGGGTACCTGATAGTCGAGACATTCAACTAGCATTCGAGAGCATTCGAGAGCATTCGCCATGGCCGTCAAATCAAATCAAATCGGCTGCATCGAATTGCGGACTTAAGGGCGATCCACTTCAACCGTCAATAATCAATAATGGGGAGGTTACCCTGGTACTCGGCTGTTATTTTTCTGCTCCCCCTTCTGCTGACCGGAGGAGCACTGGGTCACAGGGCGCGGGCGCGACGGACGCGGATGCGTTCGCAATATCCGCGCGTCGAGTCGCGGAGCCAGTCGGGCGTCGTGCCAGAGGTGCGTCCGCTGCTCTACAACCTCAGTCTGCTGACCGAGGTGGACGAGGTGAGTCTGGGCGGCAGCTTCAGCGGCGAGGTGGCCATCCAGTTGCGCGTGTGGCGCGAGACGCGCAGCATTGTCCTCAGCTCGAATGGCCTGCGAGTGGGCCCCAAGGTTTGGCTGATCCGCAAGACCACCGGCGGCCGGGTGACAGTGCGCCGGTTGTGGCAGGTCGTCCGCCTCCAGCGACTGGGCATCGACTTCAACAGCCTGTTGTGGCTGGGCGAGGAGTACACGCTGGTCGTCCAGTTCAGCGGGCAGCTCTCCCGCAACGCCGGCTACTTCGTGGGCGGCTACATGGATGCCAAGCACCATCCGCAGTGGGTGGCCGTCACCCAGCTGTCGCCCGACCTGGCCAACACCGTCTTTCCCTGCTTCGAGGACCCCAACTACCTCAGCCCCATCATCCTCAATCTGGCCCACCCGAGGAACAGCCGGGTCGTGAGCATCACGCGGGTGCGAAAGACCGCCGAGTGAGTAGAGCCTGATCTGTATATTATATAGTAGTTATATATATTGTTAGCTGTTCGCTGTTCGCTGTCTTCGATTTAAGCAAAAAACGCTAATGCCCACTTGAACAAAAACTCAAATCCAGATTTAACACCCCATAAAATAAGTATTTCGGATGAAAACAATGGAAACAATAGTCAAAATATTGAATTAATTTTCATTGACATTTTAAGCAAATAATCATGTAAAAATTGGAAAAAAATGGTATTCCATGTCTGTAGAAAAGTAGTATGAGTCTATTTATTTGTTTGTTTGCTGAGAAAAACAATAATCATTTTTGATTTGGGATCATTTTTGGTCAAGTTATAAGAAAAAAAATAATAAATAATAAGGAAATTAATTATACCCGTTACTCGTAGAGTAAAAGGGTATATTAGATTCGTGCAAAAGTATGTAACAGGTAGAAGGAAGCGTTTCCGACCCTATAAACTATATATATTCTTGATCGGGATCACTAGCCGAGTCGATCTAGCCATGTCCGTCTGTCCGTCTGTCCGTCTGTCCGTCTGTCCGTCTGTCCGTCTGTCTGTCCGTCTGTCTGTCTGTATGAACGCTGAGATCTCGGAAACTATAAAAGCTAGAAGATTGACATTTTGCATGCAGATTCTAGGAGTTCCTACGCAGCGCAAGTTTGTTTCAAAAGGGTGCCACGCCCCCTCTAACGCCCACAATCGCTTATATACGATTTTAAAAATTTCAATATTTTGGAAAAGTAAAAATGCAGTTTTATTGTGTTTATCAATACCTATCGAAATGTAGAAGAAATTTTTTAAATCGGACCATTCGTTAAAAAGTTACGGCGGATCAAAGTTTTTCTCCATCTCCTTCGCACTCCCTTTAGCTGAGTAACGGGTATCTGATAGTCGGGGCACCCGACTATAGCGTTCTCTCTTGTTTAGTTTAGGATAAAACTTTTTTTTACAATAATCGGATGACTTTATTAAATAGCTGTCATAGGAATGGTTAAAAATTAAAGTCAAATTGGTGCGAAAACAGCTATAAATCTCAGTTTAACATTTTTGTAAAGCTTTTGAGAAAAATCTGTAATTTAATAGGAATTTAATAATTTCGGCTGGCCTTTTATTAATTTTTTATTTTATTTTTTACTATACTTTGCAGCCACGAGCGGGATGACTACATGTGGACTAGCTTCCATAAGACCCCACCGACTTCTGTCCAGAAGCTGGCCTTCTCCGTCAATAAGTTCACAGGTCGCAAATCGCCGAAAATGGCGAAGTGCCCCAGGGTGACCACCTGGCTGCGAGCGAGAATTGTGGATCAGGGGGACTACGCCATTCGCATCACGCCCCGAATTATCGTGTACTTTGTGGGTCTCTTTGGAAAGCCATATGTGTTTGATAAAGTTGAGCAGCTGGTTCTGCCGGACACAGCCTATCGGGTAAGGATTCGTTTTCGAGAGCAAATGACACTTAGGTAACTTTCCCGTTGATATTGATCCAAGAGCCATGACCAGTTGGGATTGGTGAGTCACCCGGAGCGAGTGTTCCTCTACAGCGAACAGCACTCGACGCCGAGGGCCAAGCAGGATGTGGCCAGTCACCTGGCCCACGAGTTTGCCCAGCACTGGTTCTCCGATCTCGAGAATCCCGCCCTCTACTGGCTGCACTACGGCCTGTCCAATTACCTGGCCGGCTTCGCCGTGGACAATGTGGAACCCAGCTGGCGACACCACGAGCTGTCCATGCTGTGGCAGGCCTTCGACGTCCTCTTCGAGGACTCCAGGGCCAGTGCTCAGCCCGTGAGCCTGGCCCACGGCGCCCATCCAACGGACATCCAGGCCCACCACAAGTCGGCCCTGATATTCCGAATGCTGCACTCCCTCATTGGCACCCAGGTGGGTTTCCCTCAATCTTTTATGCGTTTATTAGTAGTCTACACTATATCTTAAGTATGTCCGAAAGTCCTATAGTCCTTGAAATCGAAAACTTCTTCTGTACGATCATTTTCCATTTAAAAAGCCTTAGGAAATATTTCGCCTGTGTCTATGCCTTATTTTTATTACAGCATACTTCTAAATACCGTTAAAAATTCCTTTAAAAAAAACCTTAGTGATTTCTTCGGCGCATTTACATATGGTCATTTTCAGGATGTCGGACGTGACAATTTTTTGACTTTAGCTTTGAAAATACAAGTGATGGAGCATATATTTTGTTTTTTTTTTTATTTTTTTTTATAGCTCCGACGGTGAAAAACACTTTCCGTGTGATTTTTAAAAGATAAAATTTTCGCCAATTTTTCGTTTTTTTATAAGGGGTATATATTATTATATTATTTATATAAAATAAAAGTTCCGGGCTTAAATGCCAATCGATTGGAAATTTAACAAGAGAGAACGCTATAGTCGGGTGCCCCGACTATCAGATACCCGTTACTCAGCTAAAGAAATTGCGAAGGAGATGAAGATAAAAACTTTGATCCGCCGTAACTTTTTAACGAATGGTCCGATTTAAAAAATTTCTTCTACATTTCGATAGGTATTGATAAACACCATTAAACTGCATTTTTACTTTTCCGAAATATTGAAATTTTTAAAATTGTATATAAGCGACTGTGGGCGTTAGAGGGGGCGTGGCACCCTTTTGAAACAAACTTGCGCTGCGTAGGAACTCCTAGAATCTGCATGCAAAATGTCAATCTTCTAGCTTTTATAGTTTCCGAGATCTCAGCGTTCATACAGACAGACAGACGGACAGACAGACGGACAGACGGACAGACGGACAGACGGACAGACGGACAGACGGACAGACGGACATGGCTAGATCGACTCGGCTAGTGATCCTGATCAAGAATATATATAGTTTATAGGGTCGGAAACGCTTCCTTCTACCTGTTACATACTTTTGCACGAATCTAGTATACCCTTTTACTCTACGAGTAACGGGTATAATAACGAGTTCAGAATGGTATAACAATCTATATTTGGATTAATATTTCAGTTGTAGCGGTCAAAAAACTAATTATTTTTTGTGAAAAATTGGGATTTGGGTTTTTGGTACAAATTTCAAATTTCAATTTTCTCTTTTTGTTTTTTGCTGTAACTTGGCCAAAAATGGTCCTACAGCAAAAAGACATACTGTTTTGAACAGATAACAAAATAATAAATAAATTCATAACACTTTCCGTGTGATTTTGAAAAAATAAAATAAATAAAATGTCCGGTCTTAACTGCCAATTGATTGTAAATTTAATATCGAGTTCATTGATTCGGCCAAAAAACTAATTATTTTTGTGCCCAAAAAACTGTCACGTCCGACATCCTGGAAATGCCCGTATGTGATATAGACATGATAATAACCTACAAAAATCCAGGTGTTTGTCAACGCCATGCGCCTGTACTTGCGGCGCTCCCGGAAGGGCTTCTCCAACCAGACGCTCCTGTGGACGGCACTCCAGGAGGAGTCGGACCGGCACATGAGCCTGCGCCAGGACGTCCAGGTGAGCCAGCTGATGGACTCGTGGACCCTGCAGCCGGGCTATCCGCTGATCAGGGTGGTGCGCGACTACGCCGCCAACCAGGTGACCGTCACCCAAGAGCGGTTCCTGCGCAATCCGGGTGGCGGCAATGGAAGACGCCAGCAATGTTGGTGGGTGCCGCTGACCTTCACCTCGGCGGGACGGGGAAGCTTTGCCTCGACGCTGCCCAGCGAATGGCTGACCTGCCGGACCCACCAGACTGCCAGAGCACTGGTCCTCACCGAGGTGGCTCAGCCGGAGGAGTGGGTGGTCTTCAACCTGCGGGTCAGCACGCCCTGCCGCGTCACCTACGACGACCGCAACTGGCGGCTGATTGGAAAGGCTCTGGCCGGTAAGAATGCCAGCAGCATTGACCGCTTCACCAGGGCCCAGCTGATCGGGGACGTCCTCAGCCTGGCCGGCGCCGGCGTGGTCACCTACGACCTGGCTCTCGACTTCCTTGGACACCTGCGCCAGGAGAACGAGTTCATCGTGTGGCAAGCGGCGGCCAGGAGTCTCGAGTGGCTCTACCGCACCCTGCGCAACACCCCCATCTTCTCCGTTGTCAAGGTGAGTGGTCCTGGTTGTTTCCCGGGCCGATTTCTTAATGTCATGTTAAAGAAAGTTAACCTGAAGTTAAATTTTTCGGAAAAACCAATTCGTTTTCTCAAATTCAGATTAACAAACCTAAAAATAAGGAGCTGTCTAACTTTTTCTTGTCAGCTTCGAGTTGTCAAGCGACTAATTTAACCAAAACATAACCTCTAGTTAAGTGTTTTCAGTCAGATAAACACTTACATGTTATTTAGTAACAGAATGTTTCCGAAAAAAACAATTTAATTCAAAGACAAAAAATTAACATAACATTGAGAAACCGGGCCGCTTTAACTTTATGATCATATCTAAGTTTCATTAAATTATACAAGGCTTCTTCAAACTGCATTTACCCTGAAAGAAACAGAATAAAATATTCTCTTAGTTTTCTTAGCAAGGACTTAAAATATATAAATATGAAAGCTTCTATAAAAAGTCCTTTAACAGCAAAAGCTTTCTTGATGGTTTAAGGATACAAATATGTGATGTAGGTGGAGCTAATCGTACAACTTTTGTAAGCTTAGCTTTTAAGGACATTTAAGCCAAAATAAGACTGGAATAATAAATATGGCAATATCCTTTATCACCCACCTGCAGAGCTTTATGAGAGGCGTGCTGCAGACCAAGTTCGATGAGCTTTTCGAGCCGAAAACCCGTGCAGCTGCAACGGCCAAAAGCACCGATCTGAAGGGCATTATCCTGACGCTTTCCTGCCAAACGGATCTGGGATCCTGTTCGAACATGGCCCTCAAGGAGTTCGCTGCCGTGACCCTCGAGGCCAATAGCATTCCGGTGGATCAGCGCGAGACCATCTATTGCACGGCCATTCAATTCGGAACGGAGGCCGATTGGACCCTTCTTCGGAGGCTGTACAAGCGATCGAATGTCGCCGAGGAGCGGAGGATCATCCTGGGTGCTCTCGCCTGTAGTCGCGAGAACTGGGCTCTGGAAAAACTGCTCGGCCTGGCCTTCGGCAGTCCCTACATGCCCAAGGAGGATGTCTATCTGATCTTCAGCGCAGTGGCACAGAATCCCTTGGGTTTCGCACTGGCCAAGAGATATCTAATAGACAACATCAAGGCAATCAATAAATTGTATGGAAGGGCTCTTGAGATCCCAAACTCCCTGCAATATACTTCCTCTTATTTTTTGTAGTTACGAAAACAGCATGGATGAGCTGGCTCAGCTCATTACGGTTTTGATGGATGAGATCAGCACGGAGGAAGAGCTCGACAGTCTGCGAAGGTTCATGAAAAGGGACCTCAAGGACCTGCCGGGCATCGAGGCCAGCTCTCGACGTATCCTGGAAGTGGGTCGCGACAAAATCGCCTGGCACAAGACACAGTACGTCCAAGTGGTATCAGCCGTCTGCAACATTACGGGATCCATAGAGCCGCAATGCATCTTTTAAGTCAAGTTAAATTTGCCAGCATCTGCTACAATTTTATTTAGATAAAACCTATTACTAAAATCTTAAAATTAAAAAATAAAAATTTAAATTAAAGATTTTTTTTTATTTTATGTACAAAAATCAAGTAGTGATGTAGTATTTGCTGGCTTTAAACTATTCTGTCCATTCTTTTAAGAAACGGTCACACTGTCCAGCCATTTAGATGACATTTCAACCTGAATACTTTTTGAAATAATTTATTAAATAAGGTAATAAACATAAAGTCCGCTTAAATCTCTAATTTTAAGTACCTACAGAAAAGCTTCCTCTCGAATTAAGTATTTCTTGAATCAGAAATAGTTTAAATAAATATCTCTCGAATTTCAAATCATCAGCGAGTGGCGAGATTGGTCCAACGAGTTTCGCGACCATAATTTGTATTGAGCCAGGTGGCACAATACGCAGGTCTAAAGCTGCATGTTCTCTCTAGCTGGGAGTCGTTCAAGGAGCAACAGTAGCTTACCTGTAACCGGGAAGTTTTCAAATGTGTATAAATAGTTTTTACAATTAGTAAACCAATTAACTAACAATTTAGCAAAGAAGCAAATGGGGCAAAATAAAAATATAGGCGAATACCTGATAAGTATTGACAGAAATATTTTATTACTTATTTTAATTAGCCATTTAAGACCTTGTTAAAATGTTAAAAATGTCCTTAAATAACATATTTTCAGATAATTAACAATTCCCAACTGCAATAATTCCTAAATAGTTTTTACGATGCATTGGAACTGAATAAAATAAATAGAAATCATTTAAATCTAATGATAATGCCAAATAAAATACGTTTAAATTGGCCATATTTACAACGTACTTTTAAATAAAAATAACATTTCTTATATATGATAAATATAAATTAAGGCTAAGGACTATTAGGATTTTATTTGCGTTTATTTTTTTTTAATATTTGGTTTTACCCGTGTGAGCTTGACTTTTGAGATTCCACTGTACTCGCCTTGTAGTATCCCTGGTACTGTTGTTTTTACACTGCAGCCCTGCTCCTGACACCAGTGACGTCACAGTCGCACACTTTGTTTGTCCAACCGTCCCCCACACTCACATACTAACACACACATGGGCAAAGAAGGAGGACGGGCACACAAGGAATTTCAACCCCCAGCGAGAAGAATAACAGCAAAGGCAGCACGGAAAAAATCGCTGCATACGTTCAGGCTGAGAGTGTCCTTTTTGTGGGTGGGATGGTAATGGTAATGGTGGGGCTGGGAAAAGGGGTGTCGGGGGAGAGAAGCTGAGCAGCGAGTAGGGAGCAGAGCAGGCGCAAAGAGAGCAGAGAGCGGCTGAAGGATATTCGAGAGCGACGCAGGCGCCAGTCGGCCGAGAGCAGCGACGCCGGCAGAGGCAGCGACATCGCGGCCGGCAGAACCACCACCCGCACGGGCAAGGAAAACAAGGACCTGCATCCAGAACGCCCACCACCCGCCAACCCACCCACCAGCCCACCGAAACACAACAAACCGTAAACCATTGGCGCTGGCAGCGACGTCGACGGCGGCGTCCGCGACTGTTGGAATGACAGGATGTTGGCTGCAGACTCAGCGGGGGGTGCGATTGTGGGTGGCTGGGGGTGGGGGTTGCGACTGCTTCGCAGCAGCCTTACCACCACATAAACAAAAATTCGATTTATGACCACTGTGGGAGTGGGAGTGGCAGTGGCACGAACGGGCGGCTTCGCATGGATTTCTGGGGGTGGCGCCAATTCGCTCTGCTCCTGCCTGTCGCTCCTGAGTCCTCGCACACTGGTCACGAAATCACAGTCATCTAAAATGTATATAAAATGTATTCTTTATTTATTTATTTTTAAGATGTTAGTAAAGTTTACAAAAATTAACTTTTCTTATAAATTCAAAAAAATAAAAGATTCAGATAAGTATATAGACAATTTTAAGTACCAGAAACCAATATTGTTTTTTTTTTTTAGAAATTTAAATATATAATATTAAATACAATAAGTTTATTAGAGACTTGCCGCGTATGTAAGTAAATAAGTCAACGTGGGTAATAAAAATATTTTTTTTTCCATAAACTCAAAATATATAATTGATAAACTATACCATTTCCTTCAGGCACTTTTTTTAATACATTAAAACCCGATTCTTGCTAGGAATATTTTTTCTAACAAATGCGAATGGATTAACGATTAGTTTTAGTGGAATTTCTCTCAGTGAGCTGCCTGTGACGGCCGTCGTGGCACTAACGACAACGATAACGCCGACAGGGACTCGCGGGGCGGCGGCGGGGGCGGAATACGTGCCTATCTGAGTGCCAGTGTCTGTGTGTGTCCGTAAGTGTGCGTGTGTGTGTGAGGGGGCGGGGCAGGACGAGAGGGAACGGGTGCGAGGCTGAGAACGGAACTTGGCGCAGATGTCGATGTGTAGCAATGGCAGCAGCAAAAGTCATACACTGAACTAAAATTAAGGAAATCTTCTATTTATTTATATACACTCATAAAAATAATTTTCTACATTTTAGAAAATCGCCCTAAAAAATTTTTCGCCTTTGAACTGAGAAAAATTTTCTATTTTCACGACAAATTTGCCATAAATTTAAGGCAGGTGACCATAAAAAAATATTTTTAGGGTTAATTTTTCTATTTTTCTAATATTTAGGGCGATTTTTTTCGATTTGCTTCGTTTTGACCTTTTCTAAATCCAACGGCGAATTGCCCTAATTTTTTTTCTAAAATTTTTCTAAATACAAGGGCGATTCGCCTTAAAAATCACTCCAAAAGTGTGAAATTCGGTAGCCCAGCGGTCTAATCACTTGCGCTTTCAACTTTGCTATATGAGGACTAAGGTCGTGGGGTTGTGGGTTCGAACCCTGTGTGATTCAACTTGATTTTTATGTTTTTTTTTTTTTTTTAAACATTATAATACTGAGGACATTTTTTCGTCCGAATTTTAAATTAAAGTAGTCTTTAAACCTTAAAAACGTATGGGAGTTCTGAGTTAAAAGCATACTTTGTGTTTGCGGGCAAGAAAACGGGACTAATTGTCACAGTCGTCAGGAAAAAAATATACGGTTTAGTTGCCTTTAGTCATATTATAACGTAGACCTCAAGAAAATAAGATGTGTGCAGAGTTTGTTCGTCGTCTTGCGCGATGGGTCTGTGGTGCAGCGGTAGGACGTTAGACTCTAAACCGAGATGTCGTGGGTTCGATTCTCGCCATGGCCAAAAAAAGTAAGTTGTTTTTTCTCCTCATATTTATTTCCCTAATTCATTTACAAACATGATTTTTCAGTTCTAACGGCTGTGCTGTATAGATCGGGCCCCCCTCTTAACCCGGCTCCCATATAAACTACACACCAATACAATAATATGAAACGGTGTCCTCCGCCGGTGTTGTTTAATTAAAGCAGTCCCAGTTCCCAGAATATAGACGATTAAAAAAAAACATGCTTCCCAAATTCAGTTAAGCATGCTCAAACACGATTTTTTTTAATTTGTCTAATTTTTTAGGGCATTTGCCTATAAAAACAGAAAATTCGCCCTTAATTTTAGAAAAATACACCTTAAAATTAGGGCAAATCACCCTAAGAACAGGAAAATATTTCTTATTTCAAGAAAAATCACCCTAAATTAAACCAAATTTCCATCGGGATTTTTTAGAAAATTTTTCTAAATACACGGGCGAATCGCCAGCGGATACGATTTATGGGCGATTTTCTAAATCCACGGGCGAAAAGTCAGTTTTTTAGGGCGATTTAGGGTAAAAATTTCTATGAGTGTATATTTATTAAATATTTCTGTAAATATATAACAAAAAAAAAATTATACATTTATATATTTTTAAATATTTATTGATTATTTCTGTAAATATATAACAAAAAAAAACTATAATGGTTTAGTTACCAACTATTCAAAAACAATTTTAAGGATTATAAATAAAGGATTAGTTTTTTTTTTTAAATTTTTTAAACTTTTAAAACTGTAGTAATTTTTAGGTCTGACGAAAATCTCAGCAGATGTTCTTATTTTCTTTTTAATTGCTATTTTTTATAAAATAGCTTAAAGGTTTCAGAATTGGTTAATTAAAAAGAATTCTGCCCAAAACCAAAACTAATTCGGATTCGGTATTGTAAAGTTCCTGTTTCGATAAATAGTTTCGATTCTCCAGTAAAATCGAAAACTGTTGCAACTCTAATGTCAAAAACTAAAATCTCACCACTTTGCAATTTTTCAGCAGCATCTCCGGTTGAAAATTTTGTTGATATTGACGGTAAATATATTTTTGTGGCAGTGCAATCGCGACTAGTATCCACCAGCAGAGTTCTGGTTATCGTTGTTGTTCTTGTTTCTGTCGTCGTCATCTCAATTCGCGAGTGCACACACACACACACACACATGCAAACGCGGACTGGCAGGGACACCCGCATACACACGCACACAGCAAAGGAATCGGAATCGCGACATCAAAAACAGCGACAGGACACGACGTCGACGTCGCGACTTCAGCGAGCTTTTTCGACAGCCAAACAGAGAGAGAGAGAGAGAGAGCGACAGCGAGAGAGGGAGGGAGAGTGTCGGCGAGAGCGAGAGAAAGAGGGAGAAAGGCTCTCCGTAATCCAGAGTGTATGAGTGTATGTGTTTTTTTGGTGGGGCGGCGAGGAGAGGGGCCTTTGGCGGCTTCGCAGGACTTTTTCGCAACGGAGAGCGCAGGAGGAAGTTGGACTGCCGCCGTCGACGTCGCTGCCGGCGTCGCTGCCTCGAGTTGCGACTGCGGCGAGGACATACACATAAATAAAAAGTCCTTCATTCCGTCGCGACCAGCGAGTAACGGCATATGAGCGCTCGCAGAGAAATCGCTAATCACGAACGGCGGACGACAAAAGCCCAATAAGAACAGTGGCAGAGAAGGAATAGGGAAAAAAGCAAAGAAAGCTGTTAAATAATTGAAAAAGAAAAGCGAAAGATCGCTAAAAAGTGTGCTAACTATTTTTTTTGACAAGTTATTTTCGAGTGAAAAGTGAAAAGAAAAGTGTGGAAAACTGTGTAAGAAAGGCCAGCAGCAGGGCAGCCCAAGGAGCAGAAGAAGGCGAGGCGTCTAGCGCAGCCCACCACCCCCAAACGCCACCCGCCAACCCACTCGCCCAACCCCCTCCCCCTTTCGCTGTTTCCCCCACAAGGCGAAAACCGCCACCGCCTCGCGCGCTCTCTCTCTCTTTTCCTTTGGGTGCCACACCAATACACCAGCTCACACACACACACACCCTTGTCCTCCAAAAAAAAAATATGAAATAGTAACGAAATTATCGAAACAGCGAACACAACAATAACAACAAAATATCTGAGCAGCCTGCCAGTCGCTGGTGAAAAACAAAAGAAAGCTTCGAAAACAACTCGAATCAATTGCATTTTTTGTTTATTTTTTTGTCCGTAAGTGTTTGGTGAAATAAAAAACTTTCGAAAAAGAAAAATTCTTTGAAAAATTCGCAACCTTATGTTATGCGTGTGAGTGTGTGTGTGCGTGAGACTTGGAGCAGCAGGAGCCATCATAACAAGCCAAGCTCTCCTGACCACAAAAACCAAACCACAAGCCAAGAATGTGCCACAAAAACACACATTCCAAGTGACAGGACCCCCGATATTTAACTAATACATTAATAATAGTAAACCAATAAAAATTCCAGGCTACCAGGCTAAAACAACAAGATATCCAACAGAGTTTGCAAAGTAAACATTGACCAGAAAAATATTCATAAAAAAGTTTTTAAAAAATCAGGAATAAAAATAATATAACACGAAAAAAAGGGAAAAAATTCCCGAGGCAGAGTTGCCACCCGGTGCGAAAGAAGGGAGCTTCAAGCCAGCGAGTGGCTTTCGGCGAACGGTACTTTTTTTGTATTTTACTGCTATTTCGCGCTTCCCCTCCGTCGGCGTCGCCGTCGCCGTCGCAGTCACTGTTGGCGTTGACGTCGACGCAGTGGCAGTAGCAGCAGCGGCGGTGCTGCCGCTGATAGATATTCAGTTTTCCATTTTCCCCCCAAACGGATCTTTAATATTTCCCATAAAATAAACATACGAAAAAAATTAACAGAGAAACCAGTCGAAAAAGCTGTAGAAAAGCAATGCAACAACAACAACAAGAGCAGCAGCAACAACAACAAAAAGTGTAGTGGGTCGCACGCGCGACTTGTGTGTGTGAATAATGAAGAAGAAGCAGAAACAACAACAACAGCAGCAGCAGCAGCAGCAGCAGCAGAGGCAGCAGATCAAGGCGCCATCGGAAGCGGAATCGGAGGCAGACCGCCCCGGCAGCAACAACAACAACCACTCGCGTCGCAGCAGCGCCAGCAACAACAACAAATAGCAAAAACTGAGCAGCGTTCGGCAAAGCGCAGCAACAGCAACAAAGGCAACACTGAAACTAACAGCAGCAGCAACACCAATTGCAATTGCAACAGCAACAACCAAGCGGCGACAGGCGGTAAACAGCAGCAGCGGCGGTAGCAACAACAACAACAAGCGCTGCAGTCGCAGCAGCAGCAGCAGCAGCTGCAGTAGCAGCAGCAGCAGCAGCAGCAACGCTAGCGTCGGCAGCGACGCCAGCAGCATGTCCAAAACAAGCAGCGGGCATCCCAATGCAGCAGCAACACAAGCAGCAGTAGCAGCTGCCGCCGCCGCTGCAGCAGCAGCAAGTGCAACAAATGCCTTGAATGCCGCCAATGCCGCCGATTTTAGTGCGTTCGACTTTAACGATAGTTCCGATAACTCCGACACGCCCCTGGTGCCACGCCCACCCTTCCTGAGTCGCGCCGCTGCAGCGGCCGCAGCAGCCGCGGCCCTCACCATCAGCAACAATTCGGCGGGCTCGGCGGTCACCCCCAGTCCCAATGCCTCCGTCGGGGTAAGTTGCATCCGTAGCTTCGTTAGCATCTATTTCGTTAGCCACCTAAGCCAAGTTAGTCGCTAGAACAAGTTAGCCACTAAGAACAAGTTAGCCACTAAATCACACAGTCTCTGCTATCAATCACAATCACAGTGAAGTAGAAGTTTCCGACCCAACAAATTTTTTATATTTGTGATCAGCATCACTAGACGAGTAGATCTAGCCATGTCCGTCCATTTGTCCGTCCGCCTGTCCGTCCGTCTGTCCGTCCGTCTGTCTGTCCGTTACTACGCAAACTATTCTCTCAGTTTTTAAAATATCGGGCTTTTTCAAAAGACTTCCTATTATTAAGAAGGAACGAGAGAGCAGCTAACCAGCCGAAGATTATATATCCTTCCAATCATTCTTATTAAAGTAAAAATCACAAAATTTTTAATTTCGTATTATTTTGTCATTAATTTTTTCTATCCTTCCTATGGCACCTATATAGTATTGTCGTACGATTTTATTTAAATTTAATTTGAAATTCGGAAATATTAAAAAAAAATCATATCCCAGAGTAGGAGAGAATACAATTAAAATCAGGGAATCTATAATATGTTTCCTTTTACTTTTCCATTAATTTTCCAATCATTCTTATGGGAGCTACATATACATATGTACATATAATAAAATCATTCGATTTGTATAAAAAATTCAGAACTACTAAAAAATTGTCATTCCCAAGCGAATACCCGAAGCTAGCTTTCTTTCTTGATTTTTAATAATTTTACCGATCTTTCCTGTGGGAGCTATAAGACATAATTGTCCAGTTGGTTTCAACTTATATACTACCTGCAATAGAAAGAAGACTTTTGGGAAAGTTTTATTAGTTTGCGTAGAAGCTTACGGACAGACAGACGGACAGCCGGACATGGCTAGATCGTTTCGTCTAGTGATGCTGATCATGAATATAGACACGATATGACTAGATCAAGCTCTTTATAAGAAATACAAATAGGATCTTCTGCCTCTATTGTTCCTTCATTTCTGCTGATCTGTTTGGGTCATTCTTATTGTTATTTTTATCCCATAATATATGCACTCTATTAAAAGTAAAGGATTTTAATAGAGTGCTTATGTAGGTGAATCCATTGGCTGGATCTTTTGTCCAAACATTAATGAACTCGGTTGTTGTTGCACTTGTTGAAGATATTCATCCCATTTCATTTTTGATTGATATCACAATGTTCGAAAGTAAAATGAATAACAAAATAAAGTTGGTGCTTGGACAAACCCACAAACTCACTTTTAGGTTTCCATTTAAAAATAATACCGTTCGACGTGGATTTTTTGTTTACCTTTCATTGATTCGTTTTTAGACCAGAAACGGGAGTCATGATCGGCTCCCCCGCTCTCTTCACGTTCGGTTCTTTCACTCTCACCCTCTCTTCGCATTCACTCTCCCACTCTCGCAATTCTCCGCAGCTTCCAGCGTTCCAGCGGGTCTCTCACATAAGTTAAGCTTGTTTCTAAGTCAGACTTCGTTTGGCGCTCTAACCGAAAAGTTCTCGGAGTGTTTCTTCTTTCGCGATCTTCGAATTGCTCTTATTTCAGCGACTGTAATCTGTGATCCGTTTCTGTATAATATTAATATATTTTTTGAAATTTCTTAATTATTTTTCCAAACGAGAAAAAGTTAATCTATTTTATTAATAAAATTTCCTATTATATACTTAATTTTAAGGGATCTACGTATTCACACTAAGGGGCAATAGAAAAAACATTTAGGGCCAAGAAGCTATTAAGAAGTATTAAGCTAAGTTTTAAGGCCAACATATCCATAGATTAGATTTTAAGCTAACCTTTAATCTTGCTACGGTTAAAGTAATAATTTCTAAATGTATTCCCTTCCAACCTTCCCCAGACTTTCCGCACCTCATCACCTGCCGTCGGCGAGGAGGAGGACGATGACGAGGAGGATGACGACGAGGAGGACGAGGAGGAGGAGGAGGAGCAGGAGGTGACTCAGCAGCAGCAGCAGCAGCAGCAACAGCTGGCGGCAGAGCAGCAGCAGCGGGCAGCGGCGGCGGCGGCCGTAGTGGCAGCGGCGGTCAGTGCGCTGCACAATGGCAACAAGCAGCAGCAGCACTACAACAACAATAACAACAACAATAACGGCAACGGCAAGTCGCGCGATCGCGACGATCATCTGCAGGCGCAGCAGCAATCGCAGCAGCAGCAGCAGGAAGATGAAGATGAGGACGAGGATTACGACGAGGATGAGGAGGAGGACGAGGAGGAGCAGCAGGGAAATGGGCATGACCTCACGCCCACGGACCTGCGACATGTGCTGCCCTCCAGCAACCACGAGCAGCAGCAGCAGCAGCAGCAACAGCAACACCAGCAACAACAGGAGCCAGCTGGCTACGAGGACGAGGGCGAGGATGAGGACGAGGATGACGAGGACGAGGACGAGGTGGGGAGCAGCCACCTGGACAGCCGGGCCACCCTGTCGTCCGCCCACCTAAACAGCGCTGCGGCCGCCGAGAGCAGCGGTCTCCACATGGCGGCGGCGGCGGCGGCAGCAGCGGCAGCAGCAGCGGCGGCGGCAGCGGCTGCCTCGGCCGCCAAGCTGGGTGCCCAGCTGGAGCAGCAGCAGCAGAATGCCGCCAGCAATCCGAATAACAATGCCTTGGACATGGCCACGCCCATTGCCCCGCCTCCGCCCAGTAGCCTGCTGGGCGGCAACAGCAACACCAGCTTCTCCACGAACAACAACAGCAACCATGCCCTCAGCTCGACGCACGGCAGCCTGGGGGCGGGTGGCCAGGGCACCCAGTGCAGCAACGATCTGATGGCCGCCAGTGGAGGCGGTAATTCCCGCGGCGGCTCTTCCCTCGGAATGGGCATCAACCCCTCCAGTGCGGCGCTGCAGCAGCAACATCAGCAGCAGCAGCAGCAACAGCAGCAGCAACATGGCAGCAGCGGCGGCGGCAGCGGCGGAAGCAGCAGTGCGGCCAGCGAAAGGCGCAAGTACCGGCATCAGAACTACAGCAAGAACATCTACATCGGAACGAAGAACGCCGAGAAGTGGGAGCACATGCGCACCCGGCTGCAGTTCAAGAACGACGTCGAGTTCGTCGCCTACCTTCTCAACCTGGCGGACAACGACACGGATCGGCTAAACAAGTGAGTAGAACTGAACAATAGTATTGAAAATTAAGGGTCAAGGAAATGTGGTACTTAAAAAGTATGCAACCAAGTCCTAGATCCGCTACTAACTAAAATATAACATTTCTAGAAAAGCGCTATCATTTAACTACACAAAAAAAAATCGATTTGAATCGGTGATCGATTTTACGTTATGTGGTATCAATTTTTTTAAAGTTAGAGAAGTTAGAAAATCTCCGAGAGAGAGTATTCTGCAAAATTATATTATTTAATATCAGTTTTACCAGTATTTCATGTTAAAAACGATATGCATATGCATAAACAGAAAATTAAGCATGGGCATATCGTTTTTACGGTAACGTAAGCAAGGTATATTTAACCACTATACTTTTTGTAAAAATCGGTGGTAAAAATTATCTTAAAACTTGCAAATTTTGGGAAATAAAACCTGTTTTGTATCAAACCCCACTCTAAATTGTCGATAATTCCAAGCTTTTAATTTATTCCCATCTTAATACTAGTTGCCCTTGCATTCTTAAAAAGTTTCAAACTAAACCGTTTTTGAGACACTTGGGTGACACTTTTGGGTGGTTAGTAAAGCTCTGTGCAACAGGTACTTAGATGTTTATTTACCCAACACCGTTGAAACATTTAAATGTTTGACCGGCATTATTAAGTTACAAAGGCTTTACAGTTTATTTAACGGTAAAAAGTGGGATTGCACATGATATATTTTTTTGCCAAAGAAAAGATTTTAAGTAAAGATTTTTGACACTGGCCACACATCATCATCATATAATCCTTGGCACAAAGCTCACAAGAAAAGTAAAAATCGAGTTCCGAAAAGCCTTATACAAAATAGTGGAGGTATCTGAAAACCAGGTATAGCCTTCCTTTCTGGTTTCTTGTTCCATCTGGTTCTGTTAATTAACCTCGTCCCAAAGGAGGAGACAAAGGTGTGGAATCGACTGGAAGTGGGAGATATGGCAACGCTTCGCTGGCCCATCATTGTTGATAGTTGTTCGCAGATATGTTTTCATACACACAGAGAGCTTTTTGGGCACCTCAGAGAAGGAATGGGAAAAAGGGGGATTTTCCGAATGGTGGCTCAAGTGCCACGGGAGGCGGCAAAAGGCGAAGAAGAACAAGAAGCTCGGTGGGGGAGCGGTACAAAAGCGATCCATGTAAAAGCGATTCATGCCCGAATGCATCCTGGCAGCCCCCAAAAAAAAAAAAAAAAATACCACCACCCTCCTCCAACAACTTCAACCCCTTTTGGCCGCGTGATACAAAAGGCACAAATGCGGTACTCATGCGGTTGCATGCAACGGAGCTTTCATGTTGCTGCCGCCTTTGCCTCTGTAGTCACCATCCATATTCCGTATTTTCCGTATATTCCGCATATATTCCGACCATATTCCGTATATTCCGTACTTTCCCGCTGTGCTCGACTCGTAGTCGTTGTAGTTGTAGAGCTGTAGCCGCCATGTCAGCGGAAGCGGAAAAAGCAACACACTCACACACAGGCGCAAACTCAAGGAAAATGGCAAGGGGTTGCGGGTTGGGGATTGTAGGGGATGTGGTTGTTGTTGCTGCTGCCAGCTGCCTGCATTTGCATGCCATGTTGCCAATCGCCCACTTACACAAACATACAAATACACTGAGAAAAAGCGGGGGGATACACAAAGGACATCGTTTGCGAACAATGATGCATTGTTCGACAATCAAGAACTGATTTCAGCTTTCACAAAATGATGATGACAGTTTAGTTACCATAAAAGTATTACAAATAACAAATAAAATTTATAGAATAATTATAATAAATACATTTTTTCTATACCTTGATATAAGCCACTTTTGGGAAAAGGAAACAAATATCAGATGAGGGCGATGTTTCCTTTTATTTCAAAGTTTAGAACTGTAGAAAAGTAAATGTTCTTATATATCTAGAACTGCTATATTTATTTAGCTTCTAATCCAAAACTTCCAAAATGGAAATTAAAATCATGTTGATAAACTTCATAAAAATGATAATATTATTAACTAAAGAATACTATAGGGATTCTTATATATATTATATATATTTTATTTATATTTTTTCTCAAATATCTATAGAGGTAATAAAAAATTACCAAAATAAAAATTAAAATGATGTTATTAAACTTCATAAAAATAATATGAATAATATACAAAATAATATAATTAATCAACGAATCGGTATAATATGTATGTAAATAATATAATTAATCAAAGAATCTGTATAATATGTACATATTTTTTTTACCAGTGTAAAAACGAGACAGAGATAGAGGGGGCAGACACGCACATACACATGTGACTGGGAGGCTCCTTCGTATCCTTGCAACGTGAATGCGTCGCGAATTCTCTTCCCTTGCCCCACATTGCCACTCCCCCTGCTGCACCGCCCCCTGTGCCACGCCTCGCTCTTTTTGTTGCTGCTGTTGCATTGCAGTCGAGCGCGCCATTTGGCGCTTTGAATAAGAGAGGGGAGTTGGGTTGGGATTGCCCCATTCCAATCGCCATGGCCAAATGCAAAATCCCAATGCAGAAATGTCTGAATCTCAGTTGTGTGTTCTCCCTTCGCCTCTTCTCTGCCTCCTCCTCTTTATCGGCCACTTCCTTTGGCATTGGCTGGCATGCGAAGCGAATGCCACAAGAAGGAGGCCGTTGGCAGGATAACACACATAGCCACACTCGCGCATCCGAGTCCTTTTGGGTCGGGAGCCTCGATTCGATCATTAGAGCATCTGAACACGTTGCACCGCATGTGAGAGCGACTGGCGAGGCATCCAGTTTCGGCCAATTTCGTCCTTTCGTGGCCAACAGTCGCTGAAACTGTGAAATTGATTTCATTTCACTTGAAAAATTCAATGCTGATTAATATTTATTCAATATATGAGCATTGCACATAAACCGATTCTGAATTGTAAATAATTCTAAATGAAATCCCCCATAATCCAAATCCACTGCGTAGATTTTTGAAAGATTTATAACTTACTTTATTTTTGCTTATGTAGATGGACTTCCTTAAGTAATTTTTTTAATTTTTTTTATTTTATTTTGGGTTCTATTAAAGGATACAAAAGCAGTGAATTTCGAAACACATTTATAGACTTTTTTGATCTGCCATTTTTAATTCTTAATTAAATTATATATGGACTTTCTTAAATATGTAATTGTTATAATTTTTTTATATTTTGGGATACAAAAGCCGTGAATTTCGAAACAAGTTCATAGGCTTTTTTGATCTGTCTTTCTGAATTCCTAATTAAATTATATATGGACTTTCTTAAATAATTGTTATAATTTTTTTCTATTTTGGTATACAAAAGCAGTGAATTTTGAAGCATTTAGGGTTTTTTGATCTAGCATTCTTAATTAAATTTAAAACTTTATATAATTAGAAATATGTGCACTTATTTCAATTTTCTGACGATCATATCAAAATTTAGATCGAAGTAATATTAAGTAAGAGAAATTATTATAAATGATATTACAAATTTTGGCAGATTTTTCTAGACGCCGAATCTCGCATCGGCATTCGCACATTCGCAGGCTTTCACCCACTAATCAGCAGCCTCTCCTTCGCATCTTCTTCAGTCTCATCACAAACACAGAGACACACTCGCACAATAGATAACATCTAGCCAACCCCCTCCCCACAACCCTGTGCCCACCACCCACCACCCCCTAACATCCCAATCCCAATCACACCGTCGTTTCCTTTCGTTGCCTTTTGCCAATTCGCATTTCGTATACGCCATGTCGCCAATTTCTGCGAATTTTCGCCAAAAAGCACAAAATTGTTGTGCGATTGTCTTTGTGAGGGTGTACAAGTATGTGTGTGTATCTGTGTGAGCCTCGTTTGTGTCGCTGACTGTGTGCTTAATGCGCCAACGAGCACCGCACACGAAACAGAATCCCAAAACTCCCCAGCCTCGAACCGAGCTAGGCCACCCAATAGCACCACCCACTCACCACCCACTCGCCACCCACTTGCCACCCCCCGCTGGGCCCTCAAGCAGCACATTAATGGTAGAGACACTCGCATTCACCAGAATAGGAGCCCCAACCCAACGGAATGGAACCCCCATCGTCAGAGGATGGAACTGGAACCAGGAATATGCTCGCTCTCTGCGGTCAAAGCATCGCGATGATGGGTTGGGTTCGGTTGAAGGCAAGGGGGTGGTTAGTGGGTGGAAGGTTGAGACAAAGTGGAGCAGGGTAAGTGGATACCAAGAGGGTGGAAGGATGGAAGGACGGCTGGCTGACTGGGTGGCTATAGGGCAGAATAGAACGGTATCGTTTGCTGTTGCCGCTGTTTTCGATATTGTTGTTATGTTTCCAAGGTGGAGGATTTAATGAACGATAACACAGGGCGGGGGGACATAAGGGTGGGCGGAGATTAGGGGGAGGAAAGGAAACCATGTGGCATGTGCAGCATCTAGAGTTCCAGAGTTCAACACCGACAACGTATCGCACTCGATGCGACCGTTGATGAATTTCCCCCGCACATGTATTCAAACGGGGGGAAATGGAAACTCAAAGGTTGCCCGGCTAGCGGCTGTGTAATTGCATTGCCCCCCATATTTAGCCATTGCTTTCGAGCAGTTGGTCCTTTAAAATAACCCACCCAACAACTAGTTGCTGAAAACCGAGTTTTGAAAAAATGATTCTAGAACATGTTTAGATAATATCTTGAAAATGTATCGACAGTTTGCTATTTCACGGTATTTAATTTATGTTCTCTCTTCAAAACATCTATGTTATCGAATCAATATTGTCAAAATATCGAAAATATCGATAATTTTCTAGCTCTAGTTAGGTTGTTTAGGAATTTTGTAGCATGTCAAAAATGTATTCAGTTACTGGTATAAAGAAAATATACCAGAAAGGTTTCAACTGATGAAAATATGATAGGGTGCAATTATAATATTATGTGTAACACATTCCAAGTAAAACATCGAGACAACCCATATAACTTTATAAGCTTTAATTGCTATCTAGAAGCCCCTTTTCTTAAGATCATTTCAACAGTATTTCTAGTAATGCTGATCATAGCAGCCAATGTTTCCATTTTTAAGCCGATAGTGACAACAGAAAATCAATCTATAGTCAATATTTGCTGAAAAATTACAGTATTACGACATACCTAGGGTATCTGGGTCTTCGTACCGATTTTTTTTTTATTCCAGCTGTGGTCCAGACTTTTCCTATGGCGAGTCCACCATTTCCGCCTTCCTCCTTTCCCCCCTTTTGACCCCCTGAGCGGCACGCGAAACAGCAAGCAAAGCGTAAGCAAAATTAATTAAACGCAAAGGCGACAACAACAAGGACAGCAGAAAAGGGAAAAAGGGAGGCGAGAAGAGAAGGACGACTTCTGGTCCTGGCAGAAGGAGGGCTGGGCCATAGACCAGAAATAAATATATTCCATCGACCCACTTTCACAGACCCCGCCAACTATCCCATCAAGTTGATACTATCAACCATGCGCGGATCCACAGGGGATTTGGGGGATAGATTGCCCCCCACTTCCCCACTTGGGTGAAAAATGAAAGGAAATTTGGTACTCAAAAAGTATGCAACAAAAACTTAGTTTTGAAAACCCCCCACTGCTACCAACAATTTTTTTTCAACTTGGAACCAAAAATATGTTTCGATTTTCAAAAACATTTCCATTTAATGGTGAAATTATTTAATATTTAAATTAAATTTTAAATTTCACTTGACCAATTCTTAACTCTAAAATACTTCTTAAAAAAGTAAAAAGGTAAAATGTTTTTATTTTTATAATCTTAATGCAATGAAACATTCGTCATATAACCTAAACCAATTTATTTTAATTTATTTATATGATATTCGTTATATTCAACAACTCCCGGTTCTTAGTTCTAAAAAACTTGTTAAAAAAATAAAAATAAAAAAACGTTCTTATTAATATTATAATCTTAATATTAATTAAATCTGAGGAAGAACGTGGGTGAAACAATTACAAGAATTTCTACAAACTCTCTAAGATTATTGTCAAAGTTTCTCAGGATTGTTTCCAGTGTATTCGCAACTATCCATTCAACCCACTCATTGTCCTTTTCTTATCTCTTTCTCTTCTCCTGCAGCCTGCCCCCGCCCTCCCCGGCGAACACGCCCACCAAGGGCTTCGACGGCAACTTCAAGCTGGAGCCGAATCTCAGCGCCAAGGACTTTGCCGCTCCCCCCGAAGCCTCGATCAACGGCAGCGTCAGCGGAAATGGCAACGGGAATGCGAGCGGAAACGGAAACGGGGACTCCACCTCGGCGGCCTCCATTCCGATGGCCACGCCCACAGCGCCGCAGCGCAAGCGTTACAAAAAGCGCGTGCAGTTCAGCTCGGAGGCGCTGAATGGTTTTGGAGGGAAGGGATCAGGAAAGGGATCGGGATCGGGAGGAGGAGCATCTTCCACCGGTTTCACCTACGCCAAATCCAAGAAACAGGAGGCCAAGGCGGCGGCGGCGGCACTCAAGGCCGCTGCCGCTGCGGCCGCTGCCTCCTCGGCGCTGCCCGAGGTCCTCGACTGCCGCATCGCCGAGAAGATCAAGAGCGAACTGGAGGCCAACAGCAAGGAGTCACTGCCGAATGCCCTGTGCCTCAAAAAGGCAGCTGCAGCGGCGGCGGCAGCAGCAGCAGCGGCAGCGGCAGCAGCGGCGGCCAACGGCAGCGAGGAGGAGGATGAGGACGAGGATCAGCCGACGACGACGACGCATCCGCACCTCCTGCCCGTCGTCCTGCCGCCCAACGTCGATGCCGTCGACGGGCTGTCCATAACCGCCAGCAACGGACAGGCGGGCAACTTCCATGTGCGCTCCAAGTCGCAGGGCTCCAAGAAATCGCAGGCGGCCAAAGCGGCGGCAGCGGCGGCGGCGGCGGCAGCAGCAGCGGCGGCCATGATGCCGCCCAACTCCTACGACGAGCACGAGGAGGAAACGGGAAACGCCGGAGGAGGACTGGGCAACGAGGAAGACGACGAGGAGGACGAGGAGCTGGACGAGGAGGCGCTGGCCCGCGAAATGAAGATGGAGCAGAACTTCGTGGAGGAGGAGGACGAGCACGACATCGCCTTCCGGTCGCAGCAGTCCTGCCGCGAATGCTCCATTGCCCACGACCACAAGCTGTGTCCGCTGCGGAATGCCTGCGGCAATGTCACCGATGCCGTCGATCTGGGCGAGTGGATCGAGCGGCGGAATCTGGAGGCTTTGGCCAAGCTGAAGGCCGATGCCCAGCGGCAGGCGAAGAGGGCCAGCGGAAGGCAGCGGCACGAGGACGACGACATGGAGGACATGGAGGACATGGACATGGACATGGACGAGTCGTCGCAGCTATCGGAGCTGGAGACCAAGCCGCTGATTACCTTCGCCGAGGCCTCCGTGCCGGCGGAGTTCGAGCTGCACAACGTGGAGCCCAATGTCACAGGGGTCTTTGCCCGCACCGAGGTGAGGGCCTTCACCAAGCTGGGTCCGCTCATCGGCCAACCGGTGCAGACCGGCGAGGTGCGCGAGGGTAGCGACATGAAGTGGATCTTCGAGATGTGCGAGGCGGGAGCGGACAAGTCCTATCTGCTGTGCTGCGACAATCCGAACGCCTCCAATTGGCTGCGTTTCGTCCGGCCCGCTCCGAGCTACGAGGATCGGAACGTCAATCTGGTGTCCATCGATCGGCAGGCGTACTTCGTCAGCTGCCGCGACCTGCGCAACGGAATGGAGCTGCTCTACTGGAGCGACGACTGCAACACCATGTGGCGCAAGAAGCACACGGAGAAGACGAGTGAGTAGACGGAGTGGTCAATGGGATCGGCCTGGTATTATATTCCAGTATCCTAAAGAATTCGCGTTTCTTTTTTAAATGATAACTTTTTGCTATGTTGTAGGTGATCAACCATCTTTTGTGAGACCAATTATAAATTTAAACTATTTGCGCAATCGAGCTTGTCTAATAATCGAAATTACTGTATCCTGAAGAATTCACGTTTCTATTTTAAATGATAACTTCTTGCCATATTGTAGGTGATCAGCGATCTTTTGTGAGACCAATTATAAATTTAAACTATTTGTGCAATTAGGCTATTCTAATAATCAAAAATCCTGTATCCTGAAGAATTCGGGTTTCTTTTTTAAATTATCAGCGATATTTTGTGAGACCAATTATGATTTTTAACTATTTCTGCACTATTGCAGCTCTATAGCTTTTCTAATAATCGAAGTTCCTGTATCATGAAGAATTCGCGTTTCTTTTTTTAATTATAGCTATTTAAATAATCGAAGTACACAATTCGCGTTTATTTTTCAAAAGATAACTTCTATTGTAGGCCATCAGTGATATCTTACCAAACCAATTATCTATGTTAATTGTTTCTGCTTTATGATCATTGTAACGTTCGAAATGCCTGAATCCTGAAGAATTCGCGTTTCGCTTTTCAATGATAACTTCCTGAAATAAAGACTAACCACCCCGTTCTTCCACCCACCAACGCAGACTGCGGCGGCTGCAACCTGAAGTTCGAACACCCCCTGTACTACCGCACCCACTGCTCCGTCTTCCACGATCCCTCGATGAGCCTGACTATCCGCAAGTACCACTGCAAGGTGTGCGGTGAGCCGGTGCTGGGCAAGGATAATATCATGAAGCATGCGGCGGAGAAGCACGACGGCAAGGGCGCCTACCAGTGCCAATTCTGCAGCAAGTTCTTCCTGCGGCTCAACTACCTGGAGATGCACCGCACCTACGGCTGCGCCTCGAATCCGAATCGATCGCGGCCCGTCTGCGATTTTTGCGGCCGAAAGTTCTGCCAGCCGCAGAAGCTGAAGGCGCACATTAAGCGCATGCACAGCGGTAAGTTGCCAGCGCTGGATCCCAAAATCTAGACCGTAACCGTGTGATCGTACACCCATGCGTATGCGTAACCTAATATAACGTAGCCGCATCGTAGGCCAACTGACTGCCATATCGTATTGTATCGTAAGCTCGTGTATAGTCGTATGTCGTAAATCATGTATAGCATATAGCGTATAGTATATAGCTTCTGCATAAAACAACATATTTGTATATCGAATCGAGTTCACAGTTGCCACAAAACAATTGATACAAATACCGAATGGCTACTCTTAATGCTGAGATTTTTATTTTGCTATAAAATTTATTATTTATTCAAATACAGTTTATGTGGCAACCGTGACCTTGCATCACTAATGTCAACACACGTACAAATATTATAGACCTACACAAAAATGTCCTATGAACAAATATCGTAAAGAGTCGCTTAGCTGTAAAACTAGCCCTACCATCTAAGCCACAAACACCTTGAATCACCACCACAGCAACACCCGCGATATGTGTAACACTAAAAGCATCTGCGATCGCTCATCTCTCTTTAGTTGCCTAACTTTTTTGTTATACACCGCCTAAATTGGTTTATACTTATACTTTACTGATCCTTTGTTGGTTACCTGCAGTTCGTATTCCGTTTGTATATGCTATTATTCATTATTGAAATATCGTATGACATTCACACATTTAGATTCGCACTGAAATGACTGAAAATTGTTGATCAGCTTAGTTAATAAATTGTCCATGGACATTTCAATTTTGCAAATATAGATAAATAAATATTAGATTTCTTATATATTTTTTCATTGAAAGGTTAGAAAAACGAACCAAAGCAATCGAATTTCATTTTTCACAAGCTAAAAACTTTTCATCAAAATACTATTTTTTAAATAAAGTAATCTCAATTTATCTACGAATATTGAAAACGATAAATCTTAAAAGTTTCCTAGGAAAACTGTTTCAGTATTTTTAATCAACTTTTGCAACACTCTATTTATTTACCTCGATGGAGGCTATATTTGCGGGGAATTCCCAAAAATTTCCCAACCCAAGGATTTTCAGAAAAAAATTAAAAAAAAAACATGTACATTTTTATCTTTAGGGGGCATTACAGGCAAACGGATTCATGTTTTGTTATGCAGTCAACATATTTTAAAAGTCCAATCTTTTAATTTTCAAGCCACATAATCAAAATAATTGTAGGATTATTTTTTAACGGAATTATAAACGAAAGAAGACATATCCTTATGTTTACGATAAGCATAAACAAAGTATATGTCTTAAAATTGTGTGTCAAAGCGAATAAGATTTAAAGGCATTAATCGAGTTAAGTGTTAGATGTTGCATAGTGTAATTAATAACAGTCCTTCAGTCACAACGCATATTGAGTAATAGCCCAGTTAGTAGCCTGCATTGTGTAACCGCTTTTAGTGAATGATTTGCCTTGGTTTTGATTATTATTTTGTCATTCATTGGTTTCATAGATTGATTGCTAGTCCTAGTCCTAATTCAAATCCTAATCCACTCCCTAACTCACCTCACCAGATCCCCAAACCGAAGATCTTGTGATCCTGTGCCTATTGTGATTCGGCTTTTATTTTATGTTCGTTGTTCGTTCGTTGGTTGGTTGGTTTGTTCGTTCGTTCGTTGTTGGGTTGCTTTCTGGTTTCTGGTTATGGATTATCACTAAGTTGTTCTTTCAAAATCACCACAATCCGAAATTTCATTTTCTTCATACAATTTCATTTTAGATATGGCTGAAGTTTTACGAGATTTTCAGTGTAAATTATGTTCAAAACTTCTAGGATCGCGAGCGGCATTGCAGCGCCACTCGAAGGAGGTGCACAGCCGCAACTCGACGGTGGTGAGCTGTCCGCGGTGCCAGAAACTCTTCCAGAATCGCAGCAATCTCAAGATCCACATGCTGACCCATTCGGGCGTCAGGCCGTTCAAGTGGGTGTTTTTTGAGCTATCTAAATATTATAAAATTATTATCTAATGCAATATCTTTTATCTGATATAGATGCGCCGAACCGGAGTGCAATGCGGCCTTCACCACCAAGCAGTGCCTGCAGTTCCACTACAAGAAGGTGCACAACTACACCCAGGAGCAGATGCCCAAGATCGAGCGGAGCGTGGCCTACACCTTCGACGCCTACTCGGGCGGCATGAAGGTGGACTTTCTGGGTAAGCAGTCGGCGACGGCGACGGCTAGCACGCAGCCACGCCCTAATGCGTCGTCCGTCGTCTCCCCCTCCTCGTTCACAGAGCAAGCACCGCGCCGGCGGCGCAAGAGCCTCGAGGACCAGAGCTCGATGCTCAGCGGTTCGCTGCAGAGCGACGCCGAGTTCAGCGACGACAACCTGTTCGAGGCGATCAAGAAGAGCGGCAAGTCGATCAAGGATCTCTGCCGCAACGAGCCGAATCTCTCGCTGCTCAGCTCCAAGATCTCCAGCATATTCGGGGACAAGGTGGCCTCCGTTTCCTCGGCTTCGGTTTCGGGTGGCGGCATTGGTGGCGCCACCTCCTCGGGCGGTCGCAAGCGGAAGCGCAAGAAGGAGCCAAGTGCCGCCGCGCAGCAGCAGCAGCAGCAGCAGCATCCGCATCACCACCACCAGCAACACCAGCAGCACTCGCAGCAACTTTCGCAGCAGCAGCAACACGCGCAACAGCAGCAGCACTCGCAGCAACATGCCCAGCAGCTGCAACATGCGCAACAGCTGCAGCAGCAACACTCGCAGCAGCAGCACCACTCGCAGCAGCAGCAGCACTCGCAGCAACATCACCACCACCAGCAACACCAGCAGCTGCATCTCGATCCGCAGCAGCAGCATCCGCAGTACGGTCATCCCCACCAGCTGCACGCCCATGCGCTGCCCCACCAGCAGCAACAGCAGCAGCAGCAGCAACAGCAACAGCAGCAGCAGCAACAGCAGCAGCTGCACGGCGATCCCGACGACGAGGAGGTGGAGCAGGCACGCCTGGAGCAGGTGCGTCGCAAGCAGAACGCCCAGCTGAGCCTGGTCGAGTCCTTCCTGACCACCACCGCCCAGCGGCTGAGTGCCCAGCAGCAGGTGCAACAGGTGGTGGCCGCCGCGGCCGCTGTCTCGGCCATGGCCGGTGCTGGCGAGGATCCGGCCAAGCTGGGCCACATGATGGGCCACATGGGCGTCGGCGTGGGCGTGGGCATGGAGGAGGAGGAGGACGACGACGAGGAGGATGACGATGCCCATTCGCATGTCCATGCCCATCAGTCGCACCACTCGCATGCCGCCCACTCGCATGCGCACGCCCACCCGCACCACGCCCACTCGCACTCGCACGCCCACCCGCACGCCCAGCATCCCGGCGCCCAGGGGGCGGGCGGTCAGCAGCAGGACTACCGCCATGCGGCGGCCATGAACGCAGCGCTTGGCCAAAATCTGGTGGTCAGCAAGGGCAGCAAGAAGTGGATCCAGGAGGTTCAGGACTCCAGCGATGTGGGTGGCGAGGGTTCCGGAGGAGGAGGAGGACCAGGAGGAGAAAGTAATGCTGCCTGCGGTCAGCTGGCCGGCGGTGGTTCCGGTGGTCCTGGCGCCGATCTGGGATTCGCCGTGCCTCCGAGTTCGGTGGATGAGCACAGCAAGTTGCTGGGCCAGAATCGCGACTTCCTGGCCCGCCTGATGAGCAGCGCCAGCGCCAGCCACGCCCATGCGCACGCCCACGCCCACGCCCATGCCCACGCCCATGCCCACCAGACGCACCCGACCCACCAGCAGCTTCAGCAGCAGCAGCAGCAGCACAGCGCCCACAGTCGCGAGGAGGACGAGAACAGCTCCTTCCTGGACGTCGTCGAGTCGAACAACAATGCTGCCGCCGCCGCTGCCGCCGCCGCCGCTGCAGCTGCCGCCATGTCGCATTATGGAGGAGGCGGAACGAGCGGCGGCGGGGGGAGTGGCAGCGGGGGCGGCAGTGGCGGACAAACGCCGACGGGTCCGGCGACTGGTGGCACGGTAACCGGCGGCGATGAGCCCCAAATGCAGATGAACTCGCTCGCCCACTCGCAGTCCTTCATGAGCTCCTTCTACAACAACGCCAACGCCCGGGTGGGCGGAGTGGGCGGCGTGGTCGGCGTGGGCGGGGGCTCGTCCTCCGCCAGCATGCTCGTGGAGGCGGCCCTCAACTCCGTTGGCAATATGATTGACAGCGAGAGCAGCGACCTCAAGGTGAGTGTGATTTTAATAAACCCTGTTTATACATACCTCTTAATAATATTCAATTTCATAGATAGAACATTTTACACTTAAAGAAAACGTGAGAATAAAGTGCAATTTTTGTTGTTAATATCAAATTATTAAAAATGGGGATGTCTCCCATACCCAAATTAAGATAATTTGCATTTAAAATCCATTTAAACCCTGTTTATACCTCATGTTAATATTTAATTTAACTGAATTTAATTTCATAGAGAGAATAAAGTGAACTTTTTTTTATTTTTAAATATAAAATCAATCAAAATGGGGATATTTTCTTTGCCCAAATTAAGATAATTTCCATTGAAAATTTTTTTTTGTTTTTTATATTAAATCAATCAAAATGGGGTTATTTTCCTTACTGAAAGTATGATAATTTCCATTTAAAATTAGTAAGTTATTTAAATATTTAAAAATCTTTTAATCTTCTGTTAATGTTAGAGTAATTTATAAATTGTGTAATGTAGGCAAAATGAAAATATTCAATTATACAACACCACCGAGTGGATTTGAACTCGTGCCTTTTATAAAAATGTTCATGTTGAGCATCCTATAAAAAAAATTTAGGTTTCAATTATAAAATGCGCGAAAGAAAAACTTATTTTGAATAAATTATTATTTCTATTCTTTGGTCAAACCTATTTACAATACAAATTCATAAAAAAAGTTTACAAATTTTTTTTTTTAATTTTTAAAATAATTCCTATGCGTAAATAAATAATGTGAATCCTTTTTTTTGGAAACACGCCAGCAAAGGAAGTCGAATAAATAATAACATTTGTATTGTCATATTACATTTTTTTTTAACTTTTAAAATACTTCTTATGCGTTAAAAAAGGGAAGTTTAAAATACTTTTTTTTTGAAAACGCACCCGCAAAGGAAGTAAAATAAATAAAAATATTGTTTTTATATCATACTAAACCCATTCTGACTGCCCCCCAGGTTCCCACCGACAACCACATAAACAGCGACAGTCCGATGAGCGCCCACGTGGATCCCGAGTCGCAGCGCTTTGGAGCGGGCAGCGCTGGCGGAGCGGGTGGCGGAGGAGGAGGCGGCGGCGGTGGAGGAGGCGGCAGCAGCGGAGGATCCTCGGGCGGGGCGAACGGAACGGGCATCGGCGGAGCTATGGACAACCTGGAGAACGAGCTGAAGATGATGAAGAACCTGGGCAGCTTCCCGATGCAGATACCGCCGCTGCCGATGTTCCAGGGCGCCTGCAATATATCGCCGAGTGCCTCGACGCCGACGAATCCGCAGAGCAACCAGAACCAGAACGACGTGGATGTGGATGCGGGCAGTACGCCGCGTCCGCAGCATCCGGACTCCGATGGCTTCTCCTCGTCGCACCACCGCACTCCGCCCTCGCCGCCGCCGATATCGCCGGGTCGCGATTACGGCGGAATGTTTGGAGCGGGCAATGGAGGAGGAGGAGGAGGAGGGGGTCCCGGATCGAATAGCACGCCGGCGGGCAGCTCGAGCGGCGGAGGAGGCGGTGGCCCCGGCGGAGGAGGCGCCAACAGCATGTCCGCCTCGTCGCCACTGCCCGCTTTGCAGCCGCAGCGGCGGAACGCCTCCAGCGTGGGCAGCACCTATCCCGAACACGAGCTCATCTCGCCCGCCTCTTCGCCGAGCATACCGCGCTACAACTTCAACGGCGACATGATGCGCCACAAGCGGGCGGTCCAGGAGCAGGAGCACCAGGAGCGCCAGCGGCAGAACATCTCGCGCCACAACCAGATGTCCAGCGACGAGGAGAACAGCATCATGCCCCAGAACAGGTGATGATCTGGATGACGTGGCTTATATTATTCAGCTTTTATACTTTTAATAATGGAAAAATTACTTTAATATTATTATATTGCATCCGCGGGTGTATGTACCTAATAAAACTAAATATATTATTTATGGTTATTATTTAATTATATACTTTCAATTATAAAAAAAACTTATATTTTAATATATTCGATTGCAGAGCATATGTACCTTATAAAACTTAATAAATTATTTGTGTATATTTATTATTTAATATTATAATTATACTTTCACTTATAAGAAAATTACACATATTTTATTATATTCGATGGCCGAGTATATGTACATGTTTTAAAAAAACTTAATGAATTATTTGGATTTATTTATTATTTAATTACATACTTTCAATTATGAGAAAATTACTTATATTTTATATGTAATTCAAAAATTTTAATTTAAACTGATTTGTATGTTCTATATGTTTTTTAATGTTTTGTATTTAATATTATAGTTTTGTTGTATTTTACTTAAATATGATGCTTAAATACTATTCCATTTTTTACAATTTCCTATTTTTTCACATATGTGATTGTGATCTAATATGTGATTTGGTCTAATAAATATGATTTAACACGTATAAAATATATGTTTTACCATGATTCAAACATTTTAATTAAAATTGTTTTGTATGTTCTATATGTTTTTTATTTAATATTATATTTTTTTTGCATTTTACTTAAATATGATGCTTAAATACTATTCCATTTTTACAATTTCCTATTTTTTTCACGGCTTTTGGTCTAATATTTGATTTGGTCTAATAAATATGATTAAACATACAATATATGTTTTACCATGATTCAAACATTTTAATTTAAAATGATTTTCTTGTTTTATTATATACAATAATATAATATTATATTTTTTTGTATTTCATTTAAATATGATGCTTAAATACTATTCCCTTTTCTTACAATTTTCGAACTTCCTACTCTGTTTTTGGTCTAATATTCGATTTGATTGCAGCAGCGCCGGGCAGGACATGCGCATGAAGTTCCCGCAGTCGCAGATCGACCTGATGTACTCCAAGTACGAGAGCATGGCCAGCAACCTGAAGTACAACAGCCAGGAGCTGGACTCGCCGGCGGAGTATCGCCAGGCGGGCGGCGGCGGCGGTAACGGGGCGGTCAGCGCGGCAGCGGCGGCAGCAGCGGCCGCGAGTGCGGCCAACGATCTCTCCGACCTCCAAGGCCTGGACATGAGCTCCCGCTCGAATGCGGCGAGCAGCAACTATCACCACAACTTCCAGCTGCCGAGCAGTCGCTACCACCACCACATCTACGACATACTCTCCGATCGCGAGCAGCAGAGCCAGCAGGCCCAGCAGGCGGGCGGCTCGGTGGTGGTGGGTGGCGGTGGCTCCGGCGGCGGCGGCGGTGGTGGTGGTGGCGGCTCCGGCGGCGGTGCCTCCGTGGTGCACCAGCAGGAGCACGGCCACGGGCAGCACCATGCGATGCAGCAGCACCAGCAGTCGGCGGCCGCCATGCACAACATGCTCAGCGAGCAGCTGGGCGAGCAGGAGCACGACCAGACCACCTCGGTGGACCTGAGCAGGACGGCCAACTATGTGGTCTCGTCGCCGCCCCAGCTGCCCTACAATCATCCCACCCACCACGACATGCTGCGCATGGCCTCGCTGGATTTGACGCCCAACACGGCCAACATGGCGGTGGGCAACAACCGCTCCTTCCTCTCCTCGCAGATGCAGCACCAGAGTCGCGAAAGTCTGGAGCACCACCGGCTGCTGTCGACGGTGGAGCAGCATCGCATCCTCGCCGCCTCGAATGCCGCCGCCGATCAGCACCGCCTGCTGGTGGATCCCACCGCCCATCTGCTGATGGAGCAAAACAATCGGCTCCTGGGCACCGCCGATCAGTCGCGACTCCTGGGCGAATCGGCGGCGGCGGCGGCCCAGAACCGGCACATGGCCAGGAGCTTCGGGGCCTATCACCAGGTGGCGTCCAGCAATTACCATCCGGGCGTGAGGCCACCGCCCGTCCTGCCATCCGCCAACCATCATGCCTCCAATCCGTCGAACTACCACCCCTTCCCCGCCTACTACTGAACGGCGAGGGGGCGTGGTCGGCCGGGATAAAGTGCACTTTGTGGGGAGGACATCCTGAAGCGAGTAGTTTAATTTTTAAAACTAAAAGTCTAGTTTCTTTGAGGCCCGTTTATTCAATTGTTGCAGTTTCCAAAGAATTTGCGTTTTATAATGTGTTCAAAAATCATAATTTTAAAAATTTAGATCGTACATTTCCAAATATTTATCAAATTGATACCAAAACACATTACATTTTTAAAAGATTTCTTTTAATATTTGAATATTTTAATGTTTAAAAACATTTCATTTAAAAGATTTCTTTTAATATTTGAATATTTTTATTTGAATATTCCTTAAAAGTGTTTACATTTTTAAAAGATTTCTTTTAATATTTTCATGTTTAAAAACATTTCAAAAACGCTTACAAATCGTTGATTCTTTGGAAAAATGTTATTTAAATTATATTTTTTTAAATTCCCATATAGTCAAACAGTATTTGCTTTTCACACGATTTTCCAAATCCCCTGAAACTAAATAAAATTTCGAATTTTTATTTTCGAAATGTGTGCCAATACGTCTAAGTGTAAATTTTTGATTTGCTTCTCTGACATTCGACGGCAGGCTGGCCGATTTTGTACTTGTACACAATATTATTAGATATGTATAGTTGTATAGGAAGCATAATTATAATAATAAAAAAAAAGAATATATATACGAGAAGCCCAGAAATTAATGCGACAGAAGAAAAAAAAACACAGAAAGCGATCAAAGACATAAGCCTGATGCGAACATTTTTTTAAACGCAAATTCACCGCTGAGTTTGGATAGAAAAAGGTAAATGATATAGGAAACGATGTTGATAATAATATTTTTACACCAAGTGAAAATAAATGCATATAAACGAGTACAAAGTGTTAGAAGAGGACGGAAACAGCAAAATCCCAAAAATCGGCTTTCCTGTAAAACTTCTTCTTCGGCTTTTCCCAACCCACATCCAAAATCCAAAACTGCGTATGCAAACTCAGCGATCAAAAAGAAAAAAGGCACAACAGGATGCACACACTATATATGTAAAGCAGATATAGATATATACGCGACCGATCAGGAACTTAGCTCAAGCATCTTAACATCTTAACTTCGAAGTCTTTTTTTTGTACTATTTAATTATAAATAATACGCATCCAGTATGGAGTATGGTATAGGGGCTATATATCGATATAAACTACCCATAACTGTACTAAATGGTATTTGTATAACTAAGTTATGGTTTAATGTAAATTATTAAATTTATATAAGAGTGCAGAGGCGATAAAGGAGAGGAAATACCGCATAATGAAACGAGATAAACACCACATACCGAAATAAAAATAAAACCCATGATAATAAATATAAACACACACACACTCCACACCCACACCCACACACTGAGAGATAAGGGGAGAGAGATCGCTGATCCACATATGATATGTATACACCTATATATGCATATGGCGTAATCAAATTATCGATTATTAATAAACCGTAAATCGAACAATTATTTGAAAGGAAACCAAACTCCCCGGCTTTTCATTAAACATCGCAAGCACACGAAAAAAAAAACATACACCAAAAATTGTCGTTTTCCCCCGGAAATCGCTCGCCTAGGGTCAGAGAGGGACAGCAAGAGCCGCAGCTTCAGAATCGCCCCATCCCTTTCTCGTTCCCATGCGCGAGAGCGAGCGGGACACCGCAGCAGCAGCAGCAGCAACAACACCATAGAAGATAATGGAGAATCCAGCGGACCAGCGGCACAATTCGTACCGCTACCGCCCAACCCTGGAGGCGATCAAACACCGCCGTCCGAAGAAAACCGAAGCGCCACCCGACGAACCGCCCACCGATGACGAACCCCAGACGCCGCCCATGCCCCCGCCGCCCCCGCGGATCGGCAGCAGTCAGGCGGGCAGCAGCGTGCTGATAATGACGCCCGACGAAATCATCGAGGCCTACGAACGCGCCCTTCAGGTAGAGTTGTCGAACACGATATTTTCGATATTTTCAGTTCGATCAAATTATCGAAGTGAAGGTAACAGTAAAGGTTACTGATCAATTAGCTGATCAGCTTCGTTTATAACTGTCTAAACAGTCTAAACAGAATTGGATCCGATTTGTCAAAACGATAATCAAAGTATCGATTCAAGATCAATTAACAGATCAGTTTCGTTATAACTTTCTACACCGATGTGGAAATGTAAGGGAAATTGGTTTGAATTATATTTCGATATTTTCAGTTCAATTTATTTATTTAATGTTCAAACTAGTCAAAAACCACAAACATAACATCGATATTTTCGATAGAAATTATCGTAAGCAAGGTAACTTTACAGGGTAGTAATCATTTAAAATATACATTAATAAGTACCTATTAATTTATCAAGCCTAAAAAATATATAAATCCGTCAATATAGGCAATTTTATTTAAAACCTGATTTTTTTAGAAAAACAAAATTGGTAATTATAAACACATCTAATCACACATCTAAAGTATGTTATTTATATAAATTCACTCAACACCTTATTTTAAAAATAAAATTCTTGATTAACATATGAAGTTATGAATAATTCTAATTTAATTTTTATGATCTTATAAATCGATCTTAATTTAAAAAAATTCTAGGTTATCATATGAATTAATGAATAATTCCAATTTAGTTTTTATGATCGATTTATAATCCCAATTAATCTAAATTCACTCAACATTTTAATTTTAAACTTAAAAAAAATTCTTAATTACCCATATGATCATAAATGGAAATCAAATTAAAACTAAATCATGATCGTAAAAAAATCCAAAGTTAGACTTAACTAATAGTTCAAAAAGTAAACTCACTAAAAAGCTAAAAATATTATTTTTTGATCATTTGTGATCTTAATTCCACTACCCATCCATGGTGGAATTGGGAACACGCCCGAGTGCGATGTGTAGCCAAGCGTTGACAACCCTATTGTACCGCCCCCTCTCCCCCTATCCACCACCAACAGGAGGGGCAAGAGGACGGGGAGGCCGACGGAGAGCAGAAAGGCAAGTCGAAGCGCTGGCTGAGCAGGCCGATCAGTGTGAAATCGACGCTGAGAGCGGTACGCGACGGCCTGCTGTTCGTGGTGGGCGGTTTCCTGCGCTTCCTTCGACGGCTAGACATGCACGGCGGCGGTAGCGGCAACAACATCAACTTTGTCGAGGGGCTGATCGACTTCATGGCGGGCTCCCTGGGCGGAGCGGCCCAGGTGTACGTGTCGCAGCCCCTCGACACGGTCAAGGTCAAGCTGCAGACCTTCCCGGAGATCTATCGCGGCATGTGGGACTGCTTTGTGAGCACCTATCGCAAGGACGGTGTCCTGCGCGGCCTGTACGCCGGATCCGTTCCGGCCGTCTTCGCCAACGTGGCCGAGAACTCGGTCCTGTTCGCCGCCTACGGGGGCTGCCAGAAATTCGTGGCCTTCTTCGTCGGCAAGGAGACCTCCGCCGATCTGAGCACCGTGGAGAACGCCTGCGCCGGCTCCCTGGCCGCCTGCTTCTCCACGTTGACCCTCTGTCCCACGGAGCTCATCAAGTGCAAGCTGCAGGCGCTGCGCGAGATGAAGCACTTCGTCGAGCCGGCCCATCCGGAGGACATGCGGACGCCCTGGACGCTCACGCGATACATCTGGCGTACTGAGGGTGAGTTAACCCTTTTATGGGTTATTTTTCATCTCACAAAATATGATATTCGGTTGAGTTTCGATGGGAAGTAATTAATTTGGGAGTGATTTGTTATTCCCTTTATAAGGAAACTATCTTAAGAGTAATATGGTGATAGTTAAACTTCCTAGAAACTATTATATATTTATTTCACACGGTTCTATCAACTTTCATTACATAAAAGCAAATAATAATTATTTCTGTCTCAAACAATTGTTTTTACTTAATACCATTAATTAGTTACAATCAGAAATCATAACATATAAATTATATGAAAATAGTAACCACCCTATTTTGCGAACCTTCAAATAAGTCAATAATTAGTTTCTAAAATGTTCCTGCAAACTGCAGTCTATATTTTATTATCGATTTATTATATTCGTAATACCTTCTACAAAATTCGGAAGTATTATACGTTCACTGTTTCGTATCTGCAATATGTAAAATCTGTAGTATATAATAAATTTAAATTAAAATTTTTGTAATACCTTCTAAAAAATTCTAAAATATTATTAGTTCACTGTTTCCAGTCTGCACTGTAGTATGTAACAACTAAATTCCCAAATTTAAATGAACATATTGACACTTTAATGTCCATTATGATCGCGTTTATCCCTGAATATATTTTTGGGGGGCGTAGCCTTGGGGAATCGGGAAAGCTATAGCTGTTGTTGCTCCCGACCCTCAAGTGCTCCGATTAGATTATCTCCGCCTGGCTTTCGGCGATCTTTTTCTTCTAATAATTCACAATTATCGCATCGCAGTGCCGCGATATAAACACAGATACGCATCGCACCCATACAAATGAAAGAGCCCACATGGTTGGGGATGGGATCGCTTGGGGTTGCCGGATCCGTTGGGGACCTGCCGGCGATCTCTTGCCCCAAATGGGCAACAAAACGGTTTAATTCAATTTCGGATTCAAATATTTTGTATAAGGGAAATGTGGGTTTATTTATTTCTAAGCATAAAAAGTTAAAAAGCTATATCTCGTATTAGTTTGAACTATTTTTGTTCCTTTAATAAGATATCATCATTTTTATTTGATCAAAATCGGATGATAGATACCAGTATTGTTAAAGATTATTTGGCAACAATTGCTACAAATTGTGTTCAAATTTCCTTTGGTTTTCATTTACTTTTTGATTGAATTACAAAGCTGTAATTATCAGCATGCACTTGGCTTTCAACATAAGTTGACTTAAATTACTTGAAGAATGCCAGGGTAATGAAATGCGATCATGAAAAACATTGTAAATGCGGCAATTTCCAAGAAGAAATGGAAAGTAGCGGGCATTTGTGAGTCGATCTTCAAATACCCTCGGAAATATAACACAAATGTTTAATATTTTAAATTAGACAATTAGGCAATAAAACTAAACGTGGAAAGACCATAAAAACTATAGTTGTCTGTTAAAACAGTTCAAGGAACTAGACATTTTTTATTAGCAGAATTAATCTTTGCACGCAAAGCATTTTTAAATATTTTTTATTATTGTATTACCTTTAGCCCGAAATTAAATTGTAAGACCTAATTTTGTTCAGAAATTTAATAGTTCTGTAGTGATCATATGCCATAAGCATGGCTATAATTATATGCTGACTCTGGAAAATATTTGGTTCAGCAATAACAGGAAACATAAGCCATAGAAAAGCAGCTAAGGCTATAAAACGCCAGTCAAGTGATGAATTTTGTAATACCTCGACGCTAATCAAATCTAATCGAACTTCAGAATTCTGCCATTCCTCTTCTCTCGTTCCTCGTTAATTTGTGAAACATAAATAATGAGTATTTACTACGCAGATTGCGAAAAGCGAATTAGGGATTTCGGTGGAAGCTGATAAGACTATTCATAGACTATTCCATAGCCTCGCAGTTGGGAACATGCCACGCACAGTGACGTAGTTCCAGATAGCCATGGAGCTATAGTTTTGAACATGAATGTAGCTATAGAGCGGGAAGTGCAGTTGTGGATAATGCACATGGTGGGGGGCACTATCAGTCAAGTGGAAATTTACTGAAACGCTACGCGATTGACAGCCGCAAGTCGGCAGATCAAGAGCACGTTTCCGTTTCGCCTTTTGATTGATGTCGGTTGTCGGTTGTCTATTGTCCAGATAGCCCCATCCTCACGTGCCAATCTCTATTCTGCATCTCCTGACTCTTGAACCCATCTTCTCCGCAGGCATCCGAGGATTCTATCGAGGATTGAGCTCTACTTTCCTGCGCGAGATGCCCGGCTACTTCTTCTTCTTCGGCAGCTACGAGGGCACCCGTGAAATACTGCGCCGGTAAGTACAGAAGAAGGTCCCTGAATATATGGCATAAATCAAAAATTATATTACCATGAATATAACCCGTAAATATTTGCCTGATTCCAAAAATCTGCAGGGACCGAAAATAGCTGTTATTGTAAATTTTTCATGCAATAAAAAATCATGCAAATAGAAGAGTCCTAAAAATTTTGTAAATACACCACTATTTTTATTAGCCTTTGTAGTTTACAAATCCGTAATGATTTTTTTTTTTGATTTTTATAATAAAACTGAAAAAATAACTTATTTGTTGATTCCCTTGACATTTTTGAAAAAATTAAATAGTTCAAAAAAACATGCTAACCGTGTTTTATATAACTTACTAAAAATCTTTAAAAAAAAGCCAACCGTGCATATTGTATAACTATATGTTTTTTTAAATTTATTTTAGCCACAAAACCGCCATAAATCAAGTTTGAGTTTTATTTTTGATCACGACGAAGAACTTTTATGTCAACTTTTATTATAAAACTCAAAAACTGTTAACTGTTAAAATGTGATTTTTAAAATAAAACTTAAAACAGGTACGGTCCCTGAAATTCTGCCACTAGTTATTACAATTAAATTCGATTTAAATCTAAGCTTATCAAAAATTGAACAAATTTTCCAAAAAGAACAGTAATTTACAGAATTAGAATTAGACAATTGACTATTTGTTATACTACAGTCGTATTTCCATAGCTCGTACTTATTTATATCAAAATCTCCCGAGTTAGGGAAAATCGACCATATGTTAGTCATTACTAGTTTACTACCTTGAATTATCTCTGATTTTCCCGTTCCAGCGAGGACCAAACTAAGGATGAAATTGGACCACTGCGTACCATGATAGCCGGCGCCATTGGAGGCGTCTGTCTGTGGACGTCGACGTTTCCGGCGGACGTGATCAAGAGTCGGATCCAGGTGAAGAACCTCAACGAGAGCATGTTCGCGGTGGGAGCGGACATCGTGCGGCGTGAAGGTGTCCTGGCGCTGTACCGCGGCCTGCTGCCCTCTGTCCTGCGCACCATTCCGGCCACGGCCACCCTGTTCGTGGTCTACGAGTACACCAAGCGAGCGATGAGCGCCACCCTCTGATGATCCGATGGCAAGGATCAAGGATCGAGGAGCTTTTGGCGCGTGGCCGCGGGCGGTCATTATAAAATATTCGATAATTATTCCTTTTTTTTTCTAGATAATTAATAGATCGTAGTGTTGTGCCTGTACAATGTTCAGATAATGCTAATGACTGACTAATATCCAAACTGTTGTGGTTGTTTTTCCTTCCGTTGGGTTAGCTATGCCTGCTAAATCCTGGCCACTTGGCTCAGGCGGCGTCTCAGGAAGTCCTGGCGATCCGCCGATGTTTCCAGTTCCCGCCATTCGTGCCAATAGATCTGCAGTAAATGTATAAATTAAAGAAATATATACACTGGTCGGCATAATTATTTTGACAGATTTCAAAGTTAAATTTTTTCATATTTTGAACTTATAATAGAAACATTTTGGCTAAAAATGACAATTTTCATACAAAATTTTACTGAGATCATTCCATTCAAAAAATCATAAAAAATACAAGGAAAAATATTTTGAAATATTTTTTTTTGCAGTTATTATTAATTTTGATTGGGGAAAAACTTTGCATCAAAACATTTTTGTTTTAAGGCCCAGGAAAAAAGTTGAAAATTTGACTTTCACAAAATTTGCTCACTTTTCAAAGGGGTCTTAATGGGTTAAGAACATTTTTGTGTCATTTAAACGGAATTGAAGTGCTCTTTCTATAGGTGCCAAAAGTTTAAATTAAAAGTTCAAAATGTGAGTACAATTAATCATTCAAATCTGTCAAAATAAAATAGCACAAAATAGGCACTCACCACCACTGGCTGATGACCCAACTGCCTTAGCTGCCTCAGCTTCATTTCCATTTGCCCCGTGAAGCGTTCCTTGTCCCGAATCACATTGTTCCAGCCCGCAATAACGATGGCCACGGTGGCCAGCTGCTCATCCGCCGCCCTGGCTTCGCCTATTAAATGCCTGCGCGTGAGAATCTCGCCGCTGTAATCCTGGCAAGCCTCTGCATTCAAGGGCAGGGCCTTCTGTTCTCGGCGATCATAGCAGAGCACCACATCGCAGCGATCGTACTGCGGCAGGATGTGCTTAAAGCTGACGGGACGGTGGATCAGCGAGAGTGCCTCCCGTATTTCCAGCAAAATCCGATCGGTGCTGTTCAACTTGAAGCGTCCATTCCGCTCGGGGATGTACTGCGTGTACAGGCGACCCATCTGCTGGCGCTGCCGCTCGCTGAGCAGCGGACCCTGGTACTTCTCCTGCTCGCCGAGGAGTCGCGCGAAGCTGTCCAGATGGAAGTATTCCCGACCAGGCAGACCGCTGCGGTAGGCGAGCTGCACGAGGCGCGGCTCCAGCGCGACGCCCAAGAGCTCCAAATCGCAGACGCCGCGCATGGTGAGGAACTGCAGGCAGTTGGTGTAGCAGCGCGGATGGCGGAGGATCTCCTCCATTCGCTGGCGCAGTAAATTCGGTAGCCTCGCCGCCAAACGGGTCTCCACTTTCGAAGAGGTGCTGATATTAAATAGAGCCATTACCAGGCAAATCCGCTCGATATCCTTCAGCCGAGCGCTCTCTAATTCCCGCTCGAAACGCAGCAGAATCCTCTCCACCAGCTCATCATTGCAGGTCTGCAGTTCGCAGCCCAGCAGTGCCATGTGCAAACAGGTGAGCAGCGAAACGCGCTCCACCTGCGACTCCAGGGCGTCGAGGAGCCGCTTCAGCTGCTCCACCTGCGGCAGCTTGCTGCTGTAGCGCAGCACCTTGAGCAGCGCCACCAAAGGAATGTCCTCCACGGTTTCCAGTTCGTTGCCCAGCCTTTGATAGATTTGGGTTAAGAGTTCTGGATTTCTTATAGGCGTCTGGGTCTTGAAGAAGCCCATGGCCATGACGCCCAGCTCGGAGAGGCTCATCTCGTCCACGCAGCGCGCCAGATTCAGCTCAAAGTCGAACATCTCGAAGACGGGACGCCGGAGAAGATTACAGAGGAACATGGAGTGGACCAGTTGCTCGGGTGGCAGTTTGCGCAACTTGCGGCCCAATTTCTTGAGAGCCAACCAAACATACTCGCCGATCCTGGCCAGACCCAGCCGATACCAGGCGTCGCTCACCAGGAGCAGCCTTTCGCTGGACCAGCGATCGATGCGGCGACAGCACTCGATGTCCAGCGTGTTCCACAGCTCCATGTAGTTGCGGCTCTTTGTGGATTCCGGTGCGGGTAGCTCCGCCAAGGCGGCCAGCGATCCCAGCAGCTGCTCGTCGCTGAGGCGATGCAGTTGCTCGCAGTAGAGGCGCGTGAAGCCATCATAGCGTTCGTCGCTGATCTGGAGCTCCAGGCGGATGCAGTGCCTCACGAGGCCCAGGAATTGGGCATACAGATCCGAGGCGGTTACTTCCCCCTCTGATGGCCGCAGGAAGCCCTCCGTGGCGGCTAGATCCTGCCAGTTGGCTTCCTGCGGTCGCAGGATTGCGTAGGGTTTCAAGGAATCCATCAGAATTCCGTGGGCAAACTGATTCTCGCGATCCGCGAAGATCCGCGCCTGCCAGACGCTCGTGGCGCACAGCTGTCGGCGGCCCAGGCGGCCCATGCAGCCCACACTGCGCCAGAGGCACTGCGTCCTTGTCCACATGGTTTTGATCCTCTTTTCCTTCTTAATTCACTCGAATTTCAATTGAATTTCAATCGCAAGCGCGTTATGAAAACATTTGCCGGCTCATCAGCTGATTGCGCGCGGCGTTGCCAGACCAGCGGAAAAATGTGTTGGCGCGCTAAAGGAAAACAAATAAAATTACTCTGCGCACGCCTGCTATCGATATCGATATTAAAGTCGACTTATGGGCAACACTGGCCTGATCAGTGATCAATGTTCAATAATGTGTATTTTTAAGAAAAAAGTCCCGCCAAACAAATGTTCAAGCTTCAAAGTTTTTAAAATTATTTAAAACAAAAAAAGTACATATTTATTGTTGTTATTATATTATTGTTATTATAGCGTTTAAGTAGGTTCTTATAAATGGAATTCGGGAAAAAGTATGTAACAGGTAGAAAGAATCCGTCCGTCCGTTTGTCTGTATGTCCGTTCGAATGAACGCAGAGATCTCGGAAACTATAAAAGCTAGAAGGTTGGGACTAACCATGCAGATTCTTGGGATTCCTGCGCACCGCAAGTTGGTTTCATCAAGGTACCACGCCCCCTCTAACCCCGACAATCGCCTTTAAGGACCTTAAAAAAGCCTGACCGACATCCTTACAAATTTTTTAAAGGTGTAAATGCCATTTTTTCGTTTTATTAATACCTATCGCAAATAATGAATTTTCCACTAGATGGCGCCACTTTCAAGCGTCTGTTTGCTTTTCAGTTTTTGTTTGGTGAATTAGTGATAATAAGTTGACGACTCGATGATATCAATCTAGAACATGCCCATGGTAATTTCAACTACATCATTTGGGAATGTTGGCCGGTCCTGGACGCAAAGAGGTTACCCCAGGGTTATTTTGGATTGCTCGGATATGATATTGATATCAGTAACTCCGGATCACCGTTTTCTTGCCATCAGAGGTCAGGGTAGAGTCTTTATTCAGCACAAATGTATTTAATAGACATTAATATAGTGATACCGCCTTTGTATATAAGACTAGAAATTAAGTTGACTTCCTTAGTTCAAAGGTTACAGAGCCGAGGCTCTTAGAACTAAATTGGTGTAAGATATCTCACGCATGGGAAGGTTAGAACTCTCGAATTCAAAGTAATATCTACCTTGGGGTATAAAGAAGTAACATTTTGACATGTATTTACAGGACACACTCCCTAGTCTTACGCATTCCATCAATAAGGTCTCATAGTATTTCCAAGTTTTTGTTTTGGTCCTTCGTTCCATGGTGTTGTCGTTGGTCTCTTCTTCCAATCGTGGGCAATGACTTATGACCACATGCACTTGTGGTCTCCAGATTTACAACTTTTGTATCAAGAATCCTGATATCAAAGAATTCAAGTTCAAGGTGTTTTGCTAAAATTGTTGCAGCAACAGTAAATGTGTATTGAAGGTATTTAGTTTTGAAATGAGTTCATTTAAGACGTTTTACTTACCCTAAAGTTAATTAGTTTCTACCAAGAAGGAACAACAAAAATGTAAGGTCTAAAGTTCAAATTCCCAGTCGACTGTTAAATTTGTGTTGGTACACAGTGAGGTGTTATCTTGACTTTAGTCGATAAAAGGGTGGTTTCCTAAAGTGTCATCTCTAGTTTTTTAAGCAAGTCACAGCTGTTTGCCATTCACAAGTCACCTGGGACGCCATTGTTGTTTTGCTGTGGCTCTTGGCTGTTCTAGTATCCCATTGGTGCACCGCGATCCATTTCCTCAAGCTTATGCTCTGTAATCGAAGTCTAATTGGTTTACTAAACACCAATTTATTTGATCTTCATCACACCGGTTTGCAACCTTTGCCATTCACTTGTCACCGCGGGCAGCCATTGTTGTTTTTTCGCCCACCAGCCCTGCCAGACTGCTGTAAAACGATTGACCGACGCCCGTGCGGTCTGGCAGCACTGGCCTTTAGTAGGGTGCCCTGCGAGCAAATTGCGTTTAGTAAACGCAAAAACGCCGACTTCCTGGCTTTGCTAAAAAGGCGCTTTTCGGGCAATCGGTCGGCTATAATTCACCTGGCAATAGGTTCCTCCAATGGTCTGGCATATTCTGCGATCAATTTGGTTGGCGACAGTGTGGTAATATCAGTGGTTTTCAAGATTTGGCCTTGGGTTTCTCCGAATCCCGGATTCTTGGCATCGTTTTGAGGCGAAAAAGCGCGGTTTATCCAGGATTGGAGAGGTAGAATCATGGAGCAGGAGGAGATCATGGCCCCAGGCGAGGCTCCCGAGGATCCGCTGGTCATAGAGGGTGAGTTAAGCTGGTCACCTGCTCATCCACTTAACTAATATTTCCCCCCCTTCAGCGGAAAACTCCAAACTAAAAGGTGAAAAGCCGGCAAATCCCTTTAGCCGCACCACTTATCCAGGATCTCTTGCCGGCGAGGCGCAGATCCTGCAGAGCGCCCAGGTGGAGCGGCGTCTCATTGTCCTGGTTCGCCGGCATCCGGCGCTCTACGATGCCCGGCATCCCAAGTTCCATGACGACCTGCAGCGCGAGAAAGTCTGGCTGAGCATCGCTAGTCGTTTATCCACCGATTTAACCAACTGCCTGGTGGCCTGGGCGGAGCTAAGGTATCGCTATCAACGGCATGTCCGCCGCCTGAGGGCCTTCCATCGGCAGGGCAGCACTGGTGGCCACCGGCGACCGCGGATGCGGCACGAGGAGGAGCTGCTGTTTCTCTACCCACATGTGGCCAGGTTCCCGCTCACCGTGGAGCGATTGCAGCCGAGCTGCGAGGTGATTAAGGAGCCAGCGGAGGCGGATGTGGAGATTGTGGAGCCCCCACCCGTTGACATCATCGATGTGGATCTGGAGGAGGAATCTCTGCGGCACTATCGCTGCTCCAAGGATCAGCGGCGGCTCATCGAAGCGGTGCAGGCCTATCCGCAGCTCTACGATAACCAGGCGCCGGGCTACGAGAATACCCGGCATCGTGGGCTCATTTGGGGCGCCATCGCCAACGAACTCCATGACAAGGCCACCAAGCTGATGAAGAGCTGGCTGAAGCTGCAGACGCGCTACGAATGGGAGCTGGCCCATCAGTGTAGCAGCAGCAGCAGCAGCTCGGAGCTCTGCCAACTGATGCACTTCCTCCAGCCGCATCTGCAGCGAATGCCGGGCACCGTCTGCAAGGCCTCGAAATATCTGCAAACCGATTGGCACGAGCCCATCGAGCACTTCCGCAGCGTCATGTCGCTGATCAACACGATGCGGAATATGCCGGAGTTGGTTCAGATGACGGATGATTCTATGTCGAGCCCTGTGATGCCGCCGCGCTACGATGAACTGTGGCAAAAGGTCGGCGCCGAGGTAATTGCCGCCCATCAGCGCTGCGAGGTCACCTGGCTGGTGCTGCGCTCCTTCCATCACGAACTGTGCGCCATGCGAATGGCGGGCTATCAGCTGCAGGACAAGTGGTACTTCGAGAACGCCCTCAGCAGCATCTTCAAGCAGACAGCCGCCTCGCGTGCGACAATTCGCCCGGTTAGTCATAAGCGGAAGAACAATGGGGCGATTTCTGGTGAGCCGGCGGCTAAAATACAGGCGCCTCCGCGTCTTCCACTGGCCATTGTCTATCCGCCTGCTCCGAAAACTATTAGCAATAGCACTACCACCAATGGAACAACGCTGCCCACCATCACGAACGTGAGGAGCTGCTCGAATGCACCAGCCACCCCGGAAACTGCGGTTCCCGCCTTTGTCATCCCCAAAATCACCTCCGCCATGAGCGTGGCCACGCCCAATCTGCTGCCCCTCAAACTGCCGCCTACTCTGCGGATTGCCCCGAAAGCAGCGGCCGCCATGGGCATGAATTTGGCTCCTAATATCCCGGCGAACATCCAGCTAGCCAGTCCTGCTGCAGTGCGTCCCTCGTTGCCGCAGCGTCCCGGGTTGCAGGTGTCGCTGCAGCCGAAGCCTAATCCACCACAAATGCCGCCCGCAGCCAGTCGCTCGCTAATTCGACCAAAGGTGAGCGTTGGATTGCCAGTTCAGCGATATCCTACATCCTCCGCACTGGGAGCGCTGCTTAGCGAGGCGCCACTGCCACAGATTCCACATATTCCGAATATTCCTCATATTCCGGCGACAGTTACGCCACAACAGCTGCCCCATTTGGTGCCCCTAATGCCAGGGAATAGTCCCTCCAATCCAGGAACTCCGGGGGCGCCGATGGTGCGAATACATCAGCCAGCGATGCCCAGCGGTTGGGATGCTGCTCCTACTGCTGCTGCTCTAAGCAAACCCACAGCAACTACAGCAACTGCAGCAGCAACAATAAGCGTCAGTAGTTTAACGGCCACTACGAAATGGAGTGCGGCTCCTGCAGGAGGAGAATGCGCCAAGAAACAAGGACAAATGGGAGCACAGTCAGCGGTATCTGTAATCAGGCAGAGTAAATCAGTAGGAGAATCACAGCCACCTGCGACGTCTCTTCCTGCAGCAGCAACTTTAAACGCAGGAGCAACTTTGAGAACAGGAGAGGCTACTTTAAACGCAGGAGCAACTTTAAGAACAGGAGAAGCAACTATAAATACAGGAGCAACTTCAAAAACAGCAGAAGCAACTTTAAACACAGGAGCAACTTCAAAAACAGGAGAAGCTACTATAAACACAGGAGCAACAATAAGTCTACGACGAACATCAGCAACTTCAGCCAAATCTGCAGTGCCAGCCAAACCTGCAACGTTGCCCACGACAGCCGCAAAACCAGGAGCAACAGCAACACCATTAGCTGCAACAGCGGCAACAACGGCAAATGTGGATACTACAGAAGCAGAAAAAGTACCCGAGACAACAAAATCAACAGTTTCCAGTCCAAAAACCATACCCAATGCCAAAACAGGACCCAATACCATGGCAGCCAATGCAGCAGCAGCAATATCCCATCCAGAAGCCACCACAAACAGCAATCAGTCAAAGGATGTAACCGTGTTCTTCCAAAAGAACGCCGCCTCTGGGAACATGCTGCTCATTTTTTGCGACAACCAGGCGACGCGATACAATCTCAATATGGTCAGGACGGCGACGCTGGTGCGCGAGGTGATGGCTGTGCCCCAGCTGCACAAGAAGGATCCCCAGCTGGCCGCCAAGTGCGATGAGGTGTGGAAGGTGATTGGCAAGAAGTTCCATATGCCAGGTAAATACTATCCCATATAATACGTAATATCAATGAATTATTTCGAATTTTTTGTTTTATATGAATGAAGTAATTCGAATTTTGAGATTAATAGAATTGCATGAATTTGAATTTTGATATTGATTGAAGAGAATTTAATGAATGAATGGCATAAATTCCGAAATAATTCAAACGACAATTTTTTTTGAAGAAGAAGAAAGGGTCACCATTTTGTGATTAAATCTGCCTACATTTTATTTAATAAGCAGTTAACATAGATTTCTTAAAAATTTTCCACTTTTTGTTCTCGAAAGAAAGCACAAAAAGCACATTTAAAAAAAATTAAATAAAAACATGCTAACCGAGTTTTATATAACTTACTAAAAATCTTTAAAAAAAGCCAACCGTGCATATTGTAAACCTATATTTTTTTTTAATTTCCTTTACCCACAAAATCGCCATAAATCAAGTTTGAGTTTTATTTTTGATCACGACGAATAACTGTTATTAGTCAACTTTTATTATAAAACTCAAAAAATAACAGTTATTCTTTGAGTTTTAGTTTACAAATGTGATTTTTAACATAAAACTCATAACAGTTACGGTCCCTGGATATGATTTATGTCAAATTTTAGATTCAACAAGAAAGGAAGCTACCTTCGGCCAGCCGAAGCTTATATACCCTTGCAGATAAAGTAATGCTCACTCGGTGCAGTTCCAGGGATTCCAGATTCAGCGTTTCTATTTTTGAATTTTGTTTTTAAAGAGTCAAGAATTAAAACGCCTACTTCCTACAAAGTAACAATGAATTTTCTTATATATCTTTGAATATACCTATGGGAGCCTTAAGATATAGTGGTCCGATTCGGCTCGCTCCGACATATGTACTACCTGCAATAGAAAGAAGACTTTCGGGAAAGTTTTATCGCGATATCTTTAAAACTGAGAGACTAGTTCGCATAGAAACGGACAGACGGACAGACGGACCGACGGACAGACGGACAGACGGACAGACGGACAGACGGACAGACGGACATGGCTAGATCGACTCGTCTAGTGATGCTGATCAAGAATATATATACTTTATGTGGTCGGAAACGTCTCCTTCACTGCGTTGCAAACATCTGACTGAAATTATAATACCCTCTACAAGGGTATAAAAATATCAACATGATATTTTATCATATCATAAAAAATACCGAATTTAGTATTTTTTGCACAAATAATATAAAAAAAGACTAACATAATCATTATTCATATCAAAATGATATGAATAACTTGATCTTTAAAAAATATCAAATTGACCATTAAAATTCATAAAAATGATTCATTAAATTCGAAATGAATTAGAAAAACATTAAATTTGTTTTACATAAAATTGAATTAAACAAACCAGAAATTTCAGGGCTCTAATCTAAACTAATCACCTTTTTCCCCTTACAGAGGAAGCCCTGCGCGCCTGCTGGCAGTTCCTGGCGGACAACATGAGTGTCTTTCCGCTCATTGCGCCCATGTCGGAGCTGATGCGTCCGTTCAAGGCCAGCGTGAAGGTGTGGGAGAAGTCGCACCGGCTGTTCAGCAAGTTTGACGAGATAGCGCGCAAGTACCTGTGGATGGAGCACAAGGAGGTGCTGCCGGATGTGATAAGGCACTTCAGGCAGCATGAGCATCTCTACTGGGAGATGCACAAGCCGCGGCCGGGCGAAGAGGCGCCAGCTCCACCGCAGTACACCGATCAGGAGCGACTCGAAGTTTGGCGCGAGGCGCGCGTCAAGTTTCCCAATCGTAGGTTTTAAATCCTTTATTTGTTTACCATTTTGTAATATCTTTGTATCCCAAACTTACAGTCAATCATCGTGACATCTGGTCCATGTTCAAGTTCGCCTTTCGCACGTATATGGAGGATCTGGAGCGGGGCATTGAGAATCCCTGGCCGCAGAATTGGTGGCAGGCCTTGGAGCAGCTGCGCTTCCTGGCCTACGTGCGCTACCATCCGCTGGAGCCCTACTACTACATTGTGCACAACAAGATCTCCGAGGAGGTGAAGCGCTGCAGCATGTATGAGGCTTTGATGAGCGCCGATCCTGCCGATAAGTCCAAGCCCACGCCTACTAGTCTCTTGGCGCGCCTGCAGAAGGAGCCCATGCCCTGGGAAACGGAGGAGGCCAAGCGATTGCTGACTGGACAGTTGAGTAACAGCGCTCCTTCTGCTGCTCCTCCCGCTGCTCTTTCTGCTACTCCTGCTGCTCCTCCCGCTGCTCCAACTTCCGTACCTGAAGTCGAACCCACTCCCAAAAAACCTTCCGCTGTCAAGAATACTGCCACCAAGCAAACGACGCCGACAGCCCAAAAACAGATTCAGATTGCCCCTCAGACGAGTCGCAACCTGCCCACCATCGAAGCCTTCGAACTGACCCACGTCCTGCGCCGCCATCCGCACACCTTCGAGCGGGCCAGCACCATCGACAAGCGGACCGCCTGGGTTCGCGTCTCCAAGGAGCTGAATGCCACAGGTAAAAAGATATATTGTAAATTAATAGTTAAAAAAAATCAACTTTGAGATTTTTTCTAAAAAAAACTGGTTAGATCGATTCAATTTAAACCTCTTGTATATTATGTCATTTAAATAACATCCACTATTTTTTATAGCCGATCGTATATATAAACGATCCGATATTATATATCGGAGGCAAAGCGATTGCTTAATACTATTAAAAAAGGCGTTTTGCGGTGTTCACTGTATCTCCGACAATAACGATCGGATTCCCATTTTGTTTTTACATTTCGTTTAAGATTAGAAAAAACTTTCCAACTGGAAAGTTGTATATTTTATTTAACCGTTCAAAATCAAAAATTAAATGTTTTAGGATCATTTTTCTATTGCTAATTTTAGCCTAACTTCTAAAGTTGTTTTCCAATTGACTTTAAATTTTTTTAATATAATTTTAAGCTATAAATCTACAAGAAAAAAAATATTTAAAAAATTGGATTGTTTTTAAGACTAGCCCTGCAAGGCTTTAGTTTTAATCGAAGTTTCCCGTATCGTACTGTAATCTTATCTTATATCTTGAATTTCTTTATTATTTTAAACCATATTTTGTGCTATTTATTTGCAGTTACCGAATGCCGTTTGGGCCTGCAATATGCTCTGCGCGAGATGCGCGTCCTGAAGATCACGGATCCCACGCACCGATGCACCATGGGCCACAAGTACTTGCGCCACATGACCGAGATCTACAAGCAAGTGAAGCCGAACGGTCAGCTCACCATCCGCACGCCACAGCAGCTGAACCAATCGCTGGCGGAGCCAGCTCAGGAAGTTGTGCCGCAGCGTTTCGTGCCCGAGATCAACCTGACCACCTGCAGCCCGAATTTGGTCCTGAAGAACTGGGCCCACGCCGTCGGCAACTTGTCCCACGCCAGCCAGGATAGTCTACTCGTCAAGCTGACGCAGCTATTCTCCAAGTACGCCGAGGAGGCGAACGTCAGCTGGGTCTATCCGGCGCCGCCTTAGCTCTACTGACACACGTTGCTTAGTCCTAGCCTTCTCCTTAAGAACTTTCACCGTTCCATTGACATCGCGAATGCTTTCTAAATGCGTTCGCTATCAATTATTCATCCGATAAAATTATTTATTATTATTTGCATGTCATTGCAAGAATCCTTTTTTTTCCATTTGAGAACAACATCATTTTTTTTTTAATGATAAGTAAAGCACCCAAATAAATTGCATAAAAAATAATTCATTATTATTCTCATTAAATATGTTTCACATTTGAATGGATTTTGTATATTTTTCTAGGTTTTTTATAATAATTCTCATTAAATTTGTTTCATATTTGAATGGATTTTGTATATTTTTTGTGTCACAGATTTTTAAATCGTTCTTACGTTTAAACTAGAAAATACCTAGGAATAATAATAATAGTGGGCTAAACAATACTTCAGCCGACTTGTAAGTCCTTAGATGATGGTGATGAGGTCGAGGTCCTTTGATTATGTGGACACATTTGTCGGTCAACGGGACCCGCCCACTTGTTTGGCCTCTCCGAAGACATGAAAGTAAGCCCGAGTAAATTGAGGCCGGACAATTGCGAAACGATTTGATTGCTGTGCTTGTGGAGGAGGGAGATAATGGGACACACGTAAAACCTTTGGGGATGATTGCCCAGGAGTAAAGGGAGGGGCGGAAAATCAGCCCAGAATACTATTTTACGAACTTTGAAAATATACATTTCGCAAGCCAGTTTTAATGAGAAATGTAGAACAGAGAATTAAAGTTGGGGAAAAAAATGAGATAAAATAATTATTATTTTATTTTTATTTAAGAAGTTTAGACATTGTATAAAATATTATAAAGATAATATATATTTTATTATATACCTATAGGTTGGATTGGTTAACTGGAACATTTTCTTAAAAGGAAGTACAATTTAGGAAGACATTCTCAATCGGAAATTATATACTTTTTATTTTCTTTGTAAAAATATAATATTTAGATTTCTGTTTTCCAATAATGAAATTTAAACATAAAAAATACATAGATTTATGTTTTAACATAATGAAATTTAAACATAAAAAATATTAGAAATGTCTTTTTTTTTCAAACTTAAAGATAAATTACTTTTCTGCGGGTATATTGAACATGTGCTTTCAAAGCTTAGGTTTGGTTTTTAACTGGTTTTTGTCTGGAACTTGTTAAATTTTGAGTTATGTCTGTTTTAAAAATATATTATGAAATATTAAAGTTATAGAACTTTAAGAAAGATAAACACTGATATAGAAAATATAAAAACGAAGTTTCTCAACAGCAGGATTTGACATGTTTGGACCGCAGGCGGCCGTGGTCCTCCAGCCGGATTTTGCGAGCCAGGGCCGGGGACTTCTCCTTTTCCTCCGGCACTTCGTCCCTTTTATCCTGCCCGCCCAGCATGCGACTGGGGGCTGGGGGCGTGGCCACCAGGCGATTGAAGATGGCAACGGCCAACGCGGCGAATACGTGATTCACATTGGCGCCACTCTTGGCGGAGGCCTCGCGAAAGGCGAGAGCCCGGTAGTCGGCGTAGTGGGCCGCCTGCTGCTGGCTCACCTGGCGGTGCTCAAGGTCGTCGCACTTGTTGCCCACCAGCAGAACGTTGACCCTGTCGGGGCAATTGTTCCGAATCTCCTCCAGCCAGCCATCGATGCCCTGGAAGCTGCTGGCCGACGTGGTGTCGTAGACGAGCAGAATGCCGTGGGCACCGCGATAGTACGACGGCAGCACCGACTTGAAGCGCTCCTCGCCGGCGGTGTCCCAGATCTGGAGCTTCACCACCTGGCCGGCCACCTCCACGGTGCGCACCTTGAAGTCCACGCCCACCGTGCACAGGTACTTCCCGGTGAACCGGCCGTCCGAGAAGCGCATCAGCAGACAGGACTTGCCCACGCCGCAGTCGCCCAGGACGAGGATCTTGAACAGGTACTTGTAGTCGGTCGTCATTGCTATCGATTGGAGTCGCCAGATATCTCAGGGGGGTCAAATAGATGAAAGTGACAGACTTGGCTTAGATCGGATTTTAGGGTTTTTGAAGTTAAGGTTAAAATGATATTTCCAAATAAATTCTAAAGAATATTTTAAGGATCTATATTTTATAACATTTTTTGGATCAGGGGAATTTAGGTAAAGGTTTTTTTTGTTTTGAGGATAAGGGTTTAATCAATATATTTATTCTCGATTTATTCAAAAATTTAAAGATTTATTGAACAAATCGAGTCAAAACTATATACAAAGTGTTGATAATATTAAAATGATAATCAAAAATAAATTATAAATACTATTTTAAGGATCGCTATATCCTTTATGTGTATATGATATTAATTCTTTACTGCCAATCTTTTCTGTTTTAAATTTGATTAAGGCTGTTTCTTTGAAAGAATAATGATGCATTTATGCTAAAAACTCTATTAAACGATTCACAAATATCTTTAAAATATTGTTTTTCAACAACTTTTTTGAAAAATCTAGATGGAATTAAATAAATAGGTATAAATAAAAAAAATATAATAAATAAAAAATAAAATAAATATTAAATAAGTATAATAAATAAAATACCAAAAACAAAATTATTAAATTTCGCATCTTGAAATAGTAAATAATTTACTTAAATGTTTTAGGATTCATATTAAAGCGGTCTTCTTTTGTAAACTTTTATTTGGGTAGTTTAGCTTACATTACCTGTACAGATATACCCGACGGGAAACAAAGACACTTCCATCCAGCTGCGTCCAGGAGGAAGTACATAAAAATTAGCATTACCCCGACTCTGGGAGGGATCCAAAGGTCGAAGTGCTGAAGGCGAAAAGGCGCGGTAATCAGGGTCCTTGGACGAGGACGAGGACCATCATAATCATTCCGCCATCTGAGGGCGCTGGCAATAATGTTTGCTCCTGGTGATTAACGCAATTAAACAGGTGCTCAAAATGATGTTTCCAGTGGATTAGCCGGGGACACAGGATGCAGGATACGGAATACGGAATACGGGGGCGACTGACGATAAGGATGAGGGATGGGAATGCGTACGTCCGCTAATAAGAGAAACATTAGCAACATGCGCCCCACGTTCGCATTAATTCTGGTCGTTGGGTGCGGGTTTTAGGTGGCTAGGTGGATTTTTGTAACGTTAAAATTCCATTAGCCCACTTTTGGTGGGGGTGGCGTTTTTATAACAGGTGCTCTGCCACAACTTCTTGGGCCGCCATTGTCCGTCGCCGGGGAGACAACACTTGAGTGGATCGCTTATGCAATTTCACTAAATGGTTCACATGACCTCCTCCGCGCCTAATGAGCCACTTAATCGGACGATTGTACGGCCATTCATTCTCCGTCGAGAGTGAATGCGAAAGTACAACTCACAATTTCCAAGCTATTGTAAAGCGGATTTAAAGGCTTTTCGGAGGAGTGGACTTTTGTTACCCTGACAATTAATATATACTTTTAAGTCAGTAAAGTAGAGGGCAAAAACAAATTAAAAATTAAAATACAATTTAAACTATGATTTTGAAACACATTTATATACAGAAAATAAAATGGTCAATTTTATATTTTTTAAAGATCAAGTTATTTATATCATTTAAGTTTATCTTATTTTACATTAATTTTTCAAAAAACACTAAATTTGCTCTTTCATATATGATATGATAAAATATCATGTTGATATGTTTGCATCTTAATTTTTTTTATTGATTTGAAATAAGGTAGAGTTGACCCTATTTCATTACGAATTTTATTTGTTGTGCATACGTTTAACTGAATATGAAAAAGTCTTAAAGACTTTACAAAAATTTAAAGTTAATTATTAGCTATGAATAAATGATCGAATTATAACTTAAATAACTTTAGAATTCATTTTAATCTATTTTTTCATTTTTATTTGCAGCTTTTACTTTTAAATTAATACTCGAAAGGTACGATAATTCTATGCTACCCTATAGTTTAACTCTACGGCTCAAGCTTTTTCAGTGACCACAAAAACTGTTAATTGAACGGTGTTTTGTTGCTGTTTTCTCTTTCATGTGTTTCATTTGTTATTCACCCATCTTTTATTGTTAGGAAAACAAATACATAAAAGAAAACATAAAAACAATAGCAGAAAAGTAGTAATAATAAAAAAGCGAAAAGCAAACTATTTAATGACAGTCTCAGCGGCGGCAATACACAATCCACACAAAACCCAGAATCGGAATCGGAATTGGAATCTGACTCTCAGACTCAGCATAGTTCAATGATTTGCTACTGGGACACAGTCCAGAAATAAGTACATGGATAGGGTAGGTGTAGGTCCGTGGGTTTGCGAAGACCCGTAAGTTTTTCTCAATGGAAAAACATTTATATTCCAAAAGTAATGATATAAACATATGCGTTTATTAAAAAGGATTCCATAAAAAATGATCCAAGTTTGGTTCATTTTTCTATTTGGAAGTAGAGCTTAAAAAACACTCAAAGGTGTCAATTTTAAAATTTATATATTGAAAAGGACTTCAGATAAATTGTGTGTCGGTCATGCCAGGCGAAAATCTGCTCAAAATCTGAATACCCTATGTCAAGGTATAATAAAAATAATACAACAAAAAAAAATAGCTAAGCAGCTCTACAAAAAACTATTAACAAAACAAAAGTACAAAGCAACGAACACGCCCGCTTTTGGGGACGAGCAAAAAGTAAACAGAAAAGCCATTATCGAGTACAACAATAACAATAGTAGTGCGGCTGCTGTTGAGCACTCTGGTTGCACTGAGAAAAAATACGACCACTAATTCATTTTACGTATGAGATAACACAATATTAAGACGGCATTAGTTAAAAGTGATCTGCATTAGCTTGACAATAAAAAGTTATTTTTTAAATATTGAAAATATAAAACATTTAAATTTAAATTAATAACAGATCTTATTTTATTTTTCTGAGTGCTTTAAGGTGTTTTTGTTTTAAATACTCTATTAGAGGGTCTAATATTATGAGGAAAAGTTTTAAATACTGTAAAAGTGAGATCTGATTTTATAAGACGTAAATATAATTCTGTATCTGTGTTACCCGGAAAATTATGTATTTAATTAGCTAACATTTTTTGACCAAGTTACATCAAAAACCAAAATCGCGAATTTCCACAAAAAAACAGTTTTTTGGCCGACACAACGGAAATATTGATTTAATATATGGAATATGGATTGTCATATCTTTCTGAACTCGTTATTAAATTTCCTAACGAATGGCATTTAATTCTTGGCATTTTATTTATTTTTAATTTTTTGCAAAATTAATTATACAAAAATTAAAAATTAGCGAAAATTTTATTTTTCCAAAATCACACGGAAAGTGTCATGGATTTATTTATTATTTTGTTATCTGTTCAAAACAGTATGTATTTTTGGTCTAGGACCATTTTTGGCCAAGTTACAGCAAAAAAACAAAAAGAAAATTCATATTTTTGTCAAAAACCGAAATCGCGAATTTCCACAATAAAAAACAGTTTTTTGGCCTACACAACGAATCAAATCTAAGTTATACACACACAAGACCAAGGGTATTTAAACTTCGGTCGTCGAAACTGGCCCTATTTTCTTGGTTCTCTTGCGGAGTTGTGCATGGCGAAAACAATTACAATTTCGCAAACAAAGATAATTTGCGAATGAGATCGACGACACGATACAATGGCCCACCAACTGGCAACTCTAAAAAATGGGGCGGGGGTGGGGTGGCAAAAACCTGAAAGTCGAAGTGGAAGGGCCAGGAGGAGAGACAAAAACAGAAGCTTCTTTTATTTGAACGAGCCTCGATGAGGTGTGTGATTGCTAATCGGTAATCGGCAATTGTCGATCGGTAATCGGTGCGTTTCGAGTTTATAAAGTGAGTGGGTGGGATAGTGAGAGGCAGAATAATAGAAAAACAAACAAGTCGCACTCTGAACAAGAGAAATAATGGCTTCTATTCTTTTGAACCAAGGTAACGTCTGTCAGAATGCATTTATCTATTCTGAGTTTGATTTCTCGTCGGAAACTATCTTCTGGTAAAAGTATTTATCATACTAACAGATAAGAAAGCTAAACTAACAGATTTAAAGTAAACCTACACCCAGAAAAAAAAGACCGAAAAAATCTAAGACCGAATTTCTTACATTACAACCATTTTGTTCTTTTATTTTTTTAAGACCATATTCTTATATTGATACCAAAGGGTATTGATTTAAGACCAGTAAATTTAGATTTAAGTTGAACTTATGCACGCGCGCGAAACACGGCGCGATGGCCCAGTTGGTAAGGCGTCTGACTCTGATGCGAGAGGACCCCGGTTCAAAACCCGAATAAGTCAAAGTAAGTAAAAAGTTTTTCAAATGTATTTCAATTAACATTTCCTTTATAACTTTAAGAACAAAAATGTATTAAAAAAGTTAAGTTGTTAATTTACTAATTACAAAAAAAAAATAAGTTGTGTTGTGAGCGGGAATTGAACCTCGTACCCCCAAACACAAAATAATACCAGAATCCAGCACCTTGGCCCCTGGGCCATGGCCTTATTATTTTCTTCCATGGCAGAATGCTTACAGAAGCATTCAAACAAAATTTATTTTTTTACTAAAAATAAATATAAATTTAAGTACGTTTCGTTATTAAAGTAAGAACAGCGGTCTTAAAAATCCGTTCTTAAAATAATACCATAAATTCTTATAATGATACCAAACGGTATAAAGCTATTTTTGAGACTCAAACAGACACGTTTTCAGACACAATCAGAACAATTTTTTCCCTGAGTGTATTATTATATGTTAGATTCATAGAAATTTACTCTGAATGTTACACTTAAAAATAATATTAAACTATAAGTATGAATTTTATAATGAATATTAAAATATATATTTACAAGGTAAACCTATATAAAGATACGATTAAAACATATCTGAAAGAGACAGTACCTTATGACATGATATTAAATAATCAAGCTAAAAAACGTATTACAAAAAAAACAGCTGCCAATTATAAATTGTAGGTGTCATAAGGTTCTGAAAATTTAAAGTCTCATTTTACAACCATAAATATTGCTTTGGTCAGCATAACCATGTGAAAAAATATCACTGTTATTGGAAAATAATAAATGTTGACTTCGTTTTACGAACCACAGCTCACAAAACAAAAATACATATTTTTAGTAACTAATGCATTTAGGGCAGCCTACATTTTTGAAAACTACAAGCACCTCTTCTGATTTGCAAAATGTGTAAATCAGCACCTGTCGCAAAATATTTCACTTTGGTGAGCATTTTTCATATTTCTACCAGCTCCGCCATTACCTGAAGAATATTTCGCAACCTTTAAGCTGCAACTTAACGATCATCAATATTAAAAACGGTTTTGGAGCTTCTGCCAGAAATATTAATTTAAAAAGACCATTGCAGCTTTTGTGGATTTTCTCTTCAGCTAATTAAGAAAGGTAAAATAATAAATATTTACGTATAACCATAGTTGTTTCTCTACTGCATTTTTTTAAATTTAACATTTATTTAAATTCTTAAATTAAGCAATAGATTTATTTTATAGGCCTGTAATCACAGTGCAGTGACCAAAAATATGATTAGGAGACCTAAATAAGAATTAACATTACTTTTTGGAAAGTAAACGTTAGAATTAAATATTCCTTTCCTGAGTTTGACAGAGATTTTTACAATTATATATTCTGATTTAATTTTGAAAACTAAACTATTCGTACATTAATTCTAAACTATTGAGTTTCAAAAATATCTTAGTAAGGTAAGTCTTAAATGAATACTTTCGGAATTATTAATATAAAACTTTTGATATAGAATTAAACCTAGAAAATATAAACTTTATTTTATCATTGCATAAAAGATATAAAATTACTGTTTTAAAATACCAAATGTAGTACATTTTGAACAAATATTGTAAAATAAGTTAAACAAAATCATTATTCATCTTGATCTTAATCTGATCTTTTGACAATTTTTTTTCTGTATAGAATACAAAATATTTTTGGGAAGCAAGCTTGTAAAATTTGGATACAGGTCAGTTAAAAAAATCTTTTGCCTGAAATTCTTCAAATTTTAGATTGAGATTCTATTCTTCATTCTGTATTCTATATTCTATCCCATAGACCTGCGACCACAGTGCTCGTTTCGATCGTTTCGCATCTCGTAATGTTGCTGTTGTGTTGATGTTGCTGTTGCTGTTGCCGCTGTTATTATCGCACAGAGTTGTTGCTGCGCCGCCGGCGTCGCCGTTTGGCGGCGATCTTCGTTTTGTCGGCGGCTTCAGTTCAGTTCGAGTTCGCACTCGGCCACAGACAGTCACAGTCGGTTGGTTGGTTGGTTTTCTGGTCGGTTGTCCGGTGGAATCGTCGCGTAAATGCCGCTAGGGAAACGAAACGAAAAACCGTAATACCCGCAGTAATACCCGAGGCTCCAGATCCGGAATCCGAAAAGCCGTAGCCGTGTAGTCAAAGGCGTATCGCCAGAATTGCTGCAGCTAAAAGCTAAATAAATTATGTGTCGCGCAAGATCGCTGCGTGTCGCGCTCAATTAAATACACATATTTTTTGCCTTTATTTTCCCCTAGTCTTTATTTTTATTTGTGTTTTCTTTATTTTTTTTTCATTTGCACCACATCGTTGTTATTTATATTTAATTGTTTAATAACAACAACAGCAACAGCAAAGTAAAGTGCGAAAAGTGAAGTGGAGTTTTGCCGACGAGTGAGTGCGAGTGATCGCGAGTGGGCACAAAATTGGAGCAGTGATCTTGAGTTCCCGAGATCCAGAGTTCCTAAGTTCCAGAGTTTCGTTTGGCAATTGCCGATTCGTATGGCGTTTGGCGTTCCCTTGGTAATTTTATTGAAAGTGATGATCGCAGTCTACTTACATCCCCGTAATTCCCATCATTTCGCAAGTTCAAGTTCAGCGACCACGCGGAGGACTCCTCCTCCTCTTCGGTCTTTCTTTATCTCTCGCCCTTCTTTTCACTGCGCGAAAATACAGTGCATCCTCGAAACAGTGAATAAATAATATAAGCCAAAGCATCGGAAATATTTTAGCTATTTCCCTTCATTTGTTTCTACCTAAAAATATTCATAATAATCTTTTTCATTTCTAAAAATTCTACTTAGTAAATTTAAAAGTCCAATATTAAGTAAGACAGTTTAAAGGGTTTTAAAGCTTAGATTTAGATTTACAAATACTTGGTATCAAAAATATTGAATGTTTTTAAGTTTTTAATGATATTAAATATCGGATTACTTTATATATTACAAACTTAAATTGCGGATCAACTCCAAGATAAGTTTATAGTAAATAAGGTGTAGAAATATACCATAAATAAGCTTCAAGGTATAAAACTATGGAATGTATATATACTAATATACAATTAAAATTAAATATTAAATTAAGTTTAATTTAATTTAATTGGCAATTATTCTTCGAACTATAGGTCTATAGACAATGTCCACTTTTAAAAGCCGGGTTCTCCCTTTCTCGCCGAAAGTGCGTCGTGTTCTTGTCTCGTTCTCTTTATTTTACCCACTCAGTACATTGCACCTTTTGGGCCGCGTCTCCTTTGGTGTCGTCTTTCGCTTTCAATGCATTTTGACAGTGGATTGCTAATCGGCCAGGTATTCGCAGTCCACCTTAAGGCACCAGGCCAACCGTACATATACCATATACCATGCTGATATACTGATATACCCTATACCGATCATTCGCATTCGCATTCGAATTCGCATTCCTGCCGCCGTTGTCATTTCCTCCCGTCGGGCGCCGCCCTCTCGCTATCACACACCTGATGATGATTACGATGATGATGATGATGATAAACAGCTGAAATTTTGATAATTTGTGGGGATTGCTAATCAGCTGCTGTTAGCACTTCCACTCCCTTGTACTTCTTCCCCTCTCAAAAATCAGCCGCACAAATTGCTCTTATCGCATGCCAAAACCGAAAGACCGAAAAACCCCAAAACTTAAATCCGAGCCCGAAACCAAAACCAAAACAAAAACCGCGGAATCGGGTCTAGATTACCTCATTGTGGTTTTCACAGGTGCACAGAGAAAACATTTTGTAGTTAGATTTAAATTAAATAATCTGAGAAATAAGTGTGAAATATTTTAATTAATAAGATTATAAAGCAGTGTACCTAATAAATTATTCATAATTTTCATCGTAATTCCCAGAAACGATTTGTGTCACTACAACAACAAAACATTTTGTTTAAATAATAATAATAAAAGCTATTAACCAAACTAGGGTTTTAAACCTTTTTCACATAATTTCTTGAGGTTTTTTTAGATCCAACTGTATTATTTTCATGTTCCTAACTAATTTTAATTTTGTTCTCTGTGCGTGCATCACCAGATTGCTGATAACTGGAGAATGTTTACTGTCATTACCTGTGTCTCACTACCTGTCCTCCCCTCCCCTTCCCCCTTCCTCTTCCCCTTGATGATAGGGAATTTCTCATGCAATTTGCGGTTGTCACAGCTATTAGCTTTAGATAGTCCACTGTGCGAGCAGCCTTATCAATGGGTTGCTCTCGCCGGTCAGTTCTTCAGGTAGAGTTGCCCGACTTTGTGGCTGTTTGAAGAACCCAGTCCAGTCCGTTGATAGCGATCGCTAATGATCTACGCTCGGTATGGGAACATCGCACAAAAGTATATACACATGTATGTGCTCACTAATCCAGTCATATATCTTAGCATTTTCGCTTATCTCGATGGTCATTTAAATAGATGTACGTATGAATCGCTGGGATCCCATCATATAAGACCCCCTATGTGCCCAGTTATTCTTGGGATAATCGCAGCGCTTTCTAATAATGCTTAGGTTGTAGTTATTAAGACTTTTGGGGGCTTATTTGCTGAAGCTTTTATCGATTGTACGGTTATGACTTCCATTAATCATTTTACACCTCTTTAGAATTAACTGTTCTGGTAATAACTATGATAATAATAATTAGATCTCAGTAAGGGCTCAAATAGCTTTCTCTGTGGAAAAATTAAGACAATGTAAAGTGTTACCATGTAAATATTTACGTTTGTCTTGGTTTCGGCTTACAAAAATGGTTTCTTAACGAAGGTATATCCTAAAAATTTCCTTCTTGTTCTTGCTTGAAGTAATAATTCTGGATTTTTACTGTGATATATTAATACTACTATTTTATGGTCATAAAGTTAGCCTACTTCCGAATGATCTCATTGGATATCGATACGGATGATTATTTGTTGACTTGTATGTGACCACACTCTAATAAAAACGATCTTAATCTTGGACATAACAAGAAGAATTGCCTCTTTCAGAAGCCCTTAGCCCCTTTTGTGTATGATCTCAGCCGAATTCCCCACCAATATTTTCATCACCCACACACCAAATGCCGCAATCGAGTCACAATTATTTGCTGGCCCCCAAAAAAAAGCAAAAAAAAATTGCCAAAAAAAGTCAGCTTTGACTAATGCGCTGCATTGGCTGTGCGATCAGTTTGGCGATCAGTTTTTAGCACCAGTCGAGAAATCCATGTGGGCGCAGCAGCCAAAATAGTTGGCCAAGTCCACCAGAGTCTCACTCTTGTTTTTGTTTCGGCTTTGTTTTGCTCTCGGCTATCTACGCTAACCGCTGTGCCCAACTGTTCCAATAGAAAGCCAGTTAACAGCGATCCGCTCCGGTTTTGTGTGAGTTTTTTATTATTATTTTCGAGGATGGGAATGGTCGATCGTCGGCCTGTCGATCAGTCGATTGGCGGCGGATCGTCAGCGTCTAAATATAGATTTCGACCATATTTGCTGGCAAATATTGGCCATGAGTGTGCGTAACGCTCGAACCTGCCTCAATTCAAGTGGGTATTTTATCTGGGCCTCTTTTATATACACACAGTATCTGCACGTGTTTTTTTGTGGCAGACAGAAGATCGCAAGATCGGCGGGGCAAGATGTCACCCCAAGCGACATTGCACTGCATATAGTACATGCAACATGCCACATCGCCTCCTTTTCTTTTCGCTCCGGCATTCCCAGCAATCTGATGTCTCGACTACCGAGCTCGAGCTCCCTTAATAAGTCTTAATCTATATGTCAATATTTTCTTGTTTACCCACCGGGAAAATTCCTCTGGAAAATAACATATTTTCAAGAGGTTTCTCCATAGAAGCGGAAGGGACTAAACCTCATTCACCCCTTACATTTCTTCCATCTCTGGTTTCAAAATACACGGGGGTGACACAAAAAGTAAGGGGGAAATGAGGTTTCTATCTGGATCTCTGGCAGAAGAATGCAGGACAAAATCCTCTGGTTTTTCGACTTCCCGCATTATAGATTTTCCACACGTACCCAGTTATGGTTTTCCTCCACTTGCAATATCTGCTTTTCTACACCCTCCCAGTTTTGGTTTTTCCAGACCCTCGCAGTTTTGGTTTTGCACTGCTTTGCAGTATCTGATTTTCCACAATAAAAATCATGTTTTTTGTAATATTTGTTTGTGTATTTATTAATAATATTTACAATCGAAGCATTGGAACTACAAATTTTTAATGCCTGAAGCATTCCCGGGTTTTGCTTGGCCGAATGCAGTACTTAGATATCCATTTCTTGTCTGTCTTCTGAAAATATCAAACATAATTTATATATGAATGTAAGACCAGGAATAATAATAAGAGTAATTACCATTATTAGGTCTCCGCACAAAATTAAAGGATCTCTCCAGAAATTATGCCTGGTTTGCCATGGCCGATCATTTACCCTCTGTTCAGTTGTTTTATGTCGGGTATCTATATCAAAAACTATGAGAAGAAAAAATAAAATATGACAAGCGCAGGCGCAACACTTCTGGTCCCAAGAAGTCTCAGTCGGCCTGGCTGAAATAAATGTAATATTTTGATTAAGTTAAACAACTAAGTTAGTACTGAAGTACTATTTATACAACCATTTAATGAACACCTCACACCATTTACCACTGGTAAAGATTAAAAACATTTCAAGTGTCACTGAAATGCAGAATTTGTGTTGAAGATAGCATCCGGAGGCGTATATTTATTAATGGGGAAAATATCTGTGATACTAACCTTTGTAACGCTGAAATAAAGGTTATAAAAAGACAAAATTCATTTTATCACTCACCTTTTTATTGTTTTTTAGATTAAAATTAACTATTTTCACTTTTTTTCACTTTTTCCAACAAATTTAAAAATGATGTGACCCTGCATCATATACTTGATAATACTAAATGCAGATTTGATATAAATTTCGTTGTAAAGTCCGGTCACACTTTGGCGCCAAATAAGTATTTCGTTTAAAAAATACTTTTTAGGGACCGTAATCATTAAAGGTTACGTATATTATAGGTATATTAGGCATTTTTCGTGTTATCAATACCACCAACACGAATTTTTATATTTTAACAACACTTAAAAATGGCTTAGGCCACGATCTGACGATCAAATTATTTTATTTCACAGAAAATGTTTAAAAATGTAAAAAACAACAATAGTTTTCTTTGTAATTTAATGTAATTCCTTGATAAATGTGATCAAATATTTTAATCGTCTTACCGTGGCTTTTCTCTATAATTTGGTTGAATCCCACATTCATCCTTATTATTATTTGAAAAATGTTGAGTAAAATAAATTAATATTATCATTATAGACATTATGATAATAAGTTATATAGTTTAATTTTTTTGATTAACAATTATTAATATTTTTTCTACGACTTTTAAAATTACTAAAAATTAAAACTAAATGTGAGAACAAGTCTTTTGGTTTTGGTGTAAATCATAGGATTTTTGAATATTATAAGTTGGTGATTTTTTTGTTAAAAAATATTATAATCGTAGTGCCACAGAAATC